GTCAGTGATTGTTATATAAAATTCGCCATGCAATAAAGTAGGACATTTGAACCAAGATTCAAGATCGGTCATTTTTTGTATACTTCCTCTACATAATAATTCACTTACCTGCTTAACGAAACTCTTTGCTTGATCACAAGTGGGAATGGATATCAAGCAATCATCAACATAGAAATTATTCTTGATATCATCTACAACATAACCATCATAACCGTCAGAGAATACTTGGGTTGTCTTATTCAAAACAAAGTTCGCACGAAACGGCGAGGATGTGGCATCAAATGGATGGGATGTCATTTGAAACTCGGATGGTTCCCTCGACATGTCTCCCTCCTGCCACCACAGAAATCTTGAAGCTCCTCGATCAGACTCAGGGACCTTCACTTGCATGAACATTTCTTCAACATCTGCAGGGATTGCAACTGCCTCCTTGCGAAAACTTATTAATATACACCTTAACTCAGCGGTGGTATCGGGTTCTTGATAAATCATATCATTTGGGGAACCCCCTGCAAACTGGGCGGCACAATCAAGGACCACTCTAAGTTCTTCTGGTTTTTTCATGTTTAATACTGCATGATGAGGTAAATACCATCGAGGGCGATAATAAGACTGCAGATATATTTCAAAGACCCTCTACGCATAAGTCTTAGTAAAATCACTTTCAATACTTTTGATATGCCTGATGTGCAGACTGACATCCTTGGACAACATACCCTTCAAACTTTGTAATCTACGTTTGCTACTTCATAATTATCCACTCTCATATCTGGATTCTTTTCCCACGGTATAGAAACTACAAAATGACCGTTGTCGAAGCGCGTGCCACCCTCCACAATCTTTATAGCCGCCTTGTCGTCTACTGATAATGATTTATCACTTGAATAAGCATCTGAAAGCTCTACGTCATAAGGCTTACGTATTTCGTTCTCTAATGTCTGTATCTTACTGGTATGATTAACAACTCTTTTCCTATATTCCGGGAATGATGGCTTATCATTTACGACGTTGCTTGTCGAGTCAGTGTGCAGCAGAGCGTGATGTCTCCTCTCACAACTGTCAACGTTACAGAGACTTGTCATCTTACATTCATTAACCTTATGTCCTTGTCTAAGACAGACGAAACAAATGCCTTTGCTTTTAGCGTGAGACCATCGGTCTTGAACTGTAAGCGCTAAGAACTATGGACATTTATAAATAGCATGGTCGCAGGAACACATACTGCATTTAGTTTTCGCTGTCGAACTATTCCCTTGCTCCGATTGCACGTGACTGTTCGTCTTTACGTTATGCCCTTTTCGTGAACGATTTGCTAACCGTCCAAATCTACTACAAGCCACTCTCGCACGCGATGCGATAAACTGAGTGAGTTCGTGAAACGTCGGCTCTCTATCATCTTCGGTCAATTTATCCACCCAGTCCGCCCACTGGGCTTGCATAGGTTGAGGCAAGAGTCTCACTATTCTTTCCAAAGTAACTAAGGAATTTAGATCAGAGGTATAATTCATCTGTTCCAAGACCATAGCACAGTTTTCCATCTTAATAGCCAAATTTGATAGTTGCTCCCCGTCAGTATAATCAAAATTCACAGCATTGAATAAGTCTTCTAACGTTTCTCGAGAGATTGCATGCGACTGTCCGAATAAACGTTTTAGAATTTCCCTTGCTCTTTTATAACCAGAGGATGCTTCCATCATGACACAACCCTCAATAGCTCTTTTCGCCTTGCCCTTACAATAGTGCATCAAATAGAGCAAACGTTGGCTATCATCAGTGACTCTTGACGCCACATAGGTCTCAAATTGCCTTATAAATATCCAGTATCCTCTTGGCTGTCCATCGAAATAACTCAATTCAACCTTTGGTAGTTCTAGACCAACAACAGGCGCTATAGGCAAAACGCTTTTTCCTGATAATTCAAGCCTTTGCTTTTCCTTTAAACTAAGATTTTTTACGTCATCTGTCATCGAATTAAGACTACAGTCACTACCATGATAATCAACCCTATTCGAGTCTGAACCATGACACTTAAGGACATCAAAAGGCACTTGCTTGGTAATAAGGGATTCTTCATTAACATCAACGAATTTTGAGCTTGATTTCCTTCGACGATTAGTTGGCATTATAAACGAAACGACCAAATATTTCCAGAAACGATAATCAAAATCCGCGAACGATTGCCAAAGGATTTCGGCCAAGTAATAATTGTTTAGAACTGTAGAATCCAAACTACGGTTTGGACTGAAGAATAGCCGACAGGAGACTTTAGACACGCGCACTTGCCCGTCAATATCAAAACAAGTATTCGGGTAAATAGCCGTTCTATAATTCATCATAAATCCAAATGTAAATCGTTACCTAAACAAATATTACCACCCGGCTATTCAACCAATAATTGTTCAATCAATCAAATCTAAATTACAATAAATAAAGAAGTTGATAGAAGATGAGGGAAAATTACCAGTCAAAACAAATGAACGTTATTCTATCCTGACTGGATAGAACACACACAAAAGGAGGAGCAAATCAATATGGCTGCCGCCAAGAACAAGTGTCAAGTAAAACAACACAGATGAAGTTCAGGAAGAAACACAAAACTTAGTGAATGCGTAAGAAAAACAAAAACTATAATAAAAAAATACAAGTATTAACAATTCAAATGTAATCAAAATACAACAATTTACAACTAAGGGGATCAATAGGAACAAAGTACAAGTATATACATGGAGGGATTTTACCAACACACAAAACCTTCAAAATGGATCTTACAGGATGGGCTGATCAGACTAGCCGAAATTAAAAATGATAATAGTTGTCGTGTTAATTTGTAATGTAATGAGGCAGCTCGGATCTGTTAGTGTTGCTGAATCGACGCTCCAAATAGTTATTCATTACGGTTTCTGGATATCGTCATTAATCAATATCATGATTTGACTTTTACGTAATATGATCGATAAAATTGATGAACCTATTAACAATTCTAGGCGGCCCGTTTGAATATCTGAACTACCTGTTCCTGCCATCTGGATATTTCAACAAGTCTGTTTTTTGTTTGCTTAAGACATTCGTCGCATAGCCTATTCAGGAGCGTTTGTGACGAGTTTACTACATTTCGCTGTACGAATTACAAAAGGAGCCCAACCGGAGACATCATGGTTGCTGGTAACATGCATCGAAAAGGATGAACATTAGTTAAATGTCGATTTCTGAACTGCCAATATCTAACTGGCGACCACTCAATATGTATCACAAGGATCGATCGGGAAATAAGAAAAGTAAATTTGCTGAAATACATTGTGCCGAGAATTCTACATCGCACCAGAAGTATAATATTAAATAAAGCCATTGGTTATAATATCGGTCGACAAACTGACTTGTAATTATCATTAAATAGTGTTGTTTTCTGGTGGTTATTTTTATCTATAATCAATGTGTTTCTCTATCACTTGCTTATTCAGTAAACATCTTAAAACCTTGTCAGTCTAGATGGAGGTTTAGCGATACAATCATGTATCCGACTAAGTAATACATTCAGCCGAGCAAATCTCCTGCAAACTGAAAAAACTGTCGAATTTACCCCAACACTGACATGAGTTAGAAGTTGTACTCCCCTTGGTTACAACCTATTTCCTCCTTAATAATCACACGAGCAGCACTCACTGTTTATCATCTTGTAAAAATTTATTTGGTCAAAAACACCGTACACAACCATGTTACTTATATTTGTGACACATAGGCTTCATCGATTTCAACAATCTTTAATCACTTTATTTCAAATAAGTCGTTTTCTGCCTTATTTTAAACTGAATATATCTGTCTTGGACCCATTAATATATGATGAACTACCGTCAGCTAACTATCCTAACTTCACATGATTATCAGTATATTCTTGTACTAAATAGATTCGTAATAAAAATTCATTTTTTTAGTAGTTTTATTGAATCTTATCACGGTAATATAATGAGGTTTAGAAAATTTCCCCGCAATTGGACAAACCGTACTAACTTCGGCAAACTAACTGGAACAGTAGTTGGAATTCTTCCTCTCCACGGTTACTTTTTTGTTCCTTCAGTTATCATATTAATGCAAAGGCAAGTGAAAATCAACTCATACGGACAGTATACCGGCATAAATGTCAACTAACTCTCAAATTCAAACTAAAAATAATATTTAAATCAGTACTGATAAAATATTGATTTTATTATATGCCTAAACACAAGATATTTGAACTACTTAAATAATTAACTAAAGGCTATTACTATACATCTTACTGCGATTAATTGAAATATCTCTACAAGAAATCATCATTAAAATCCCATTATGTGATATAGTCGTCACGCAGATTTACATTTCGCATATGTCAACAATGAGACTAAATATATTGAAAACAATACATGAATTTCCTGATCAGTTACTGCAACATCGTTTCATATAATCCTTATTCACCTGTTATTTTTAATATCATGTCCGTTTAAATCGCTCCACAATGAAGTAAAAAATTTCTCTGTTCTTCGTTGGCGGTTATCTCCAACTTGATTTTCTGGGACCTAATGTTTCACTCTTATTATCTTCCACATAACAACCAATTATATAATTTTCACATTGCAATAAATTAACCCTCCACCTGATAACAAGATGGCTGTTGGTATCTAGAAACCCTAATGGTTCGAGACGAATGCACAAGATAAAAGAATTCACAAATATCCACCGGGCAGACTGGAATCAGTGCATTTAAGTGGCTAATCTAATACTCATTGAACCTTAGCAAATACTTGGAACCGTACCGAAACAAAAAGAAGCTAGTGCAAAGAAATAAATAGATTTATGCAAGCCAGTGACGGAATTACTGAACACTGGTGTGTTTTCAGAATACACCAAAATACTTTTTATATGGGTTTTATAACTGTTTATTAATTTGTATTTTGTTGGTTCTGGAACGAAACAGTATATTAAATGTTGAGTTTAAATGTTTTAATGTATGAAGAACTAAGTGAATAACGCGCAAACAATCAATTTCGTACGTCGATTTTCAGGTTATTATTTTCAAATCTGTGTTACTTCCACATTGTATATGATCTACTTTCTGTCTTTGATCTTAACATTGTAGTCGTTGGAATCAGTATCTGCCTACAATACGGGTTAGTGCATATATGAAGAATGTGAAAGAGCTTATATAAGCTCTTCTTGATATATATCAAGAATTCTTGATACGTACTATGAAAATGTGATCGTTTAATGACGTGCCAGTCATAAATGATAATGGAAGTAAAATTTTGGCGGTAATATTTACGTCTTATAAGTAACTAGATCTGAATAATAGTACTTACTAACGCATACATACATTTCAAAATAATTCTACATATGTATGAAAACTGGAATCAATTTTACTGAATTTGCAGTGTTTAAAATGATGCGACCTCTTCTTAAATACAGAATTATGGCTTCTCTTTCTTTTTAAAAGTTAACCTCATCAACTGTTGTCTCCACTTCCCACTTACTTATAGCTGCTCTCGTCATTGTAAAACATTAAATCAGTTAATCATTTCCATGCGCTGATGCGTGCATGTATTTCGTCTTTCCCTTTAAAAATATTTGTTGACAATCACTGATAAGTTACCAAGGGATCTGCTATAAAATTTCGGGTGGTCTAGAAAAAAAAACGTAATTTTTGTTCAGATGCATGAGAATTTTATGGACTCAAGTCCTTCGAGGATTAGGAGCGAAAATGTAGTTGTGACCGCCTACAAATTTAAGGGCTAAGTAGGTTCTCCGTAATAGTTAGGGTTTAATCATCTTGCTGGATATGATCTATCTATATGAGTTGTTAATGTGACCACAATTTATGGACGAATTTTGAGTAATACTTAAGCGATATTGAAAACTTTCACTTACTTGTAAGAGTGACATTAGGTTCGCAAATTAGTATAAGGAATTAGGATTGGGATTTTTCGTTGGATGTAAGGGTTAGGAACTGGGGTCACAGTATTCATTACGAACTGACTTAAGTTGTAATGTCAAAATGCGACCTGACATGTGGGTGGATGAATTTCACGCCGAAATCTTTCAATCATAGATCTGATTGGCTCGTCCGTATATTATCATCTCGCCAAATTGCTTACTTATTCAGTATTTACAGAAGTAAGTTCGAGTAGTTTGTTTCTTGTTAAAAATGTGTGTGTCACTGAAATTTCGTTTTTGGCCTTCAAGGCCATTTTCTAAATTAATCAACCTATTCTGACCTGGATGAAAGAAAAGCAAAGGATATATCTGATCCAAAATTAACGCTTAGTGACCTAACTGTCAATGTTGGATGGTTTTTCATTTTGTAGTGAAGCAGAGTAGAAAGATATAAATTCTTAAGACACAGTGTCTATAGTAATCAACAAAACTCCAAAACTGAACATTAAGCTGTCCTCTATACTTCATCAAGACATCTGAGTCACTTACTGAACATGAGTTTGCTGTTCAAACGTATATTTTGCTTTAGAATCTCACCAGGGTTTCGTTTCTCATGGTGAACACACTTTTCTCCAACTTGGTAAACGACTGTCTTACCCACATAGAAGTCGGGGCTCTTTAGCTAGGACCACGCGACAGTTAATCTTGGTCTAAACACTGTGACTCACTTTTACGCCTAGATTCCTGCGAGACAGGTAATAAAATTTATTGCGTTTCTCTATTTACTATAATCTAATCTACTGTTTTAGTTTCAAGACTGGACAGTATGGGTTTGCTATTTAACAATCTTACGGTAGTACTACCTTGCTAATCCAGTTAAGTCAAAATAGTCGGGTTGAGTGAGATCTAGGACGGACTTCATAAAATAAATAAGAGTACGCTTAAGACCATCAGTACAAGAAGTTACTCAAACTAAGTCACTTGGAAAGCTCACTCTAAACCTAAAAAATGATAATGTTAATGATAATAGCACCTATGTCTAATTTTGGTCAATTTGCTATATTATGTGACCATCATTTATTACCTGTGGGCAACGGATGAGCTCTACTGAAGAGTCCCGCACTGGGACGAAACATTCGATCAGTGCTTTCTATTTTCAGATGTTAATGTAACTAAGGTTAGTCCACGATGTATACTACGAAAATTCAACAATCTCCGTCGAACAGCTATATTAATCTCGTGTTCATATACAATAAATAAATTCTACGTCCATCTGAAAAATACGTTAGTTGACTATTTTTGGATGAAACCATTTCACATATTTCAGAGGAAAATCTCTCAGACACGCAAAACAACCGACTAAGCAGTTATCTAAAATATAAAGAAAGCCTCCGTGGTGACTTCTGTGGCGAATAACATTCAAACAGCTAATTGAAACCAATAGACTGTAAATTTGCTTACAGCAATACTTTATAGAAAATGACATTTACATTACTGCTATTATTAATTCTGTTTGTTAATTTAGAAGTTGTCATGAATGACCTAAGTAATGTCGAATACTTGTCAAGGATTCTAGATAATTGGTCTGCTTCTTCTGGGCAACTACGTCCGGCAAAAAGTGACAGGAGTAACACTCTACAAGAAATTTATTATCCCGTCACTTTGGGTAATATGACAGAAGTAAGTATACTAATGTTTAATTACACGTCACTTGAAACAAAGTTTTAAATGTCATTTCCACCTGGACATTTTGGGATAGTGCTTGAGAGACAAAAGTAACGATTAAGTCGTGATTTTCTTCCGTATTATTTGATATTTTATGAGTACATCATTTTTAGAGGTCAATTGTTCAAAACATACAGAAGGTTTTAAAGTTTGGCTTCACTATTTATTTATTTATTTATTTGAACACATAAATATTGGTATAATAGAGCGCCAATATACATGCGCCACACAAAACAATGAGAATTCAAAGAGAAAGAAAAAAAGGTAAGAAGCGTAAAAAAAAGAGAACAATAACGAAGAGGTTGGTGTAGGTAGTGTCGTAATAATAATAGTAATAATGAGGGAACGGAAAAATACAATCAGAAGAATTCTTTCAGTTAAGGAAAATACAACCACTTTTTATGAAGAAAGTAAAAGAAGGTTACAGCAGGATCGCCACTGGCTTCTATTCTGAGCCATATCTGATAACGTCTCTAGCCACTGTGTAGCACCATCTCTCGGACCCCAACCAGGGAGTCGTGAAGGATCGACAGAAGCCAGTCCTTTGCAGCTTTCTTTCACACCACGACACCATGTCATACACTGACCACCTCTCCGCATTTTCCAACCAGTCCCGGCGTTGGCAAATAATGCATGACGTGGAATTCTCTGGGATGACATTCGTAGATGTCCAAGCCACCGAAGTCGGTGTTTCAAGATGGTGACATCGATTGCATTATCATCTCTGTGCCCGAACACGATGCCGAACCTCTGCATTACTGACATGGTGTTGCACTGGCCGTCAGCAATCCTTCGGAAACAGCGATGATCGAACACAGAGAGTCGTCTAACATCCTCAACTTGGAGAAGCCAGGTTTCGCAAGCATAGAGCAAAACTGCTCTCACCGACGCGTTGTAGATCCGACCTCTTACAGCCAAACTAACAGCACGAAGGCGCCGAAGGTGGCCCAGATTGGCATAAGGCGCTCTGGCTTTCACTATACGTGCGTTGATCTCATCACTCACGCCACCACCAGCACTTATACAGCTACCTAGATACACGGACTTCTCGACTACTTTTATCTGCTTACTACCCAGGTTGAGTGAAGGTTCAGGGTCCTGTCAGTCTTGTAAAAGTACTTTGCACTTCGAAGGTGCAAATCATATACCATGCCTACGAACACTAATTGCCAACCGACTTAGTGAGGGTTGTATGTCTCGAGTATCATTGCACAGTAAGACAATATCATCCGCACACTCAAAGTGGAAAAGTCCTTCTCCAGACAACACATCCACACTACCATTACCTACATCCATCAAAGCTGTTTCCAGAATGTCATCGATGGCAAAGTTCAAGAGGAATGGTGAGATTGGGAAACCCTGTCCAACTCCAATACTTGAATGGAACAATGGAGAGAGGTGGTCGTATGCCCTCACTTTGCCTGAGGTGTTTGTATATAGGGCCTTTAGGACATTAATAAACTTCTCAGGCACACCCTTCTTCAATAGACAATCAGAGAGAACAGTCCTTTCCAACGAATCGAAGGCAGCCCTGATGTCAAGAAACACTACGATTGTTGGCCTCTGATAAGTATGACGGTGTTCTAACATTTGGCGGAGGGTGAAGATATGATCAATACATCCTCGACCAGGGCGAAAACCAGCCTGCTCCTTGCGAACCAATCTTTCTCGGGTTTTGAACAACCTACGAAGTATGACGGAAGCCAATAGCTTGGACGCAATCGGAAGTAGACTTATCCCCCGATAGTTGTTACAGGAACGACGTGAACCCTTTTTAAAGATAGGGACAACTATCGACTCATTCCATGACGTTGGTACACTCTCTAGTTTCTAGACCTTTGTAGACAACGTTGTCAGTTCCTTAGCCAGAAAGTCACCACCATGTTTAAAAAGAGCCGGAGGTCAATCATCTGGGCCAGGTGATTTGTTACGCTTCAAGAGTTGGAGTTCCTTGCGGACTTCCACCTCATTTGGTGGATCAGCCGTCGGCGGGCTTGGAGGTCAGGACAGTCTGACCGATGTTGCCGGAGCAGCAGGCCAGTTGAACTACCCTTCGAAGAATTCTTCCCATCGTCCAAGACGTCGATGGATGTTATTGACTGGCATCCCGTCATCCTCACAGATTGTTTCACTCACATCAGACTTCTTACTGCCAGTGACTCGGATGAGTTGAAAGAGCTTCCGGTATTTACCAGATGCAGCTGCTGCTTCCAGCTCATTAGCACGCTCCGACCACCAGGCTTCTCGGTCCTTACGCAAGCTTTGCCCGATTTCATTACGTAATATCTTTCGTTTGTGGTCAAACTCACGGTCACCCGGAGTAGACCGACGAGCTTCGATGAGTTGTAAGGAGCCTGAAGAAACCCAGTGCTTATAAGCGGGACGTTTCACGAAGCCGCAAGCAGCTTTACCCGCCATTTTCATAGCGTCATACAGTTGCAACCAATGCTCATCTATACTTTTCGGTGGAACGGTAGCTAGCCTAGAAGCTAGCTCGATTCGATACTTAGTTACAACAGAAGTTGCAACCAACTTGCTGGCATCAATCCTTTGGTGAAGATCACCTCGTTGGCCACTGAAAAGTAAGGTAAGATTGGCGCAGACCAGGGCATGATCAGAGTCCAGATAGGTACTCCAAAAGGAGCGGCAGTCTTGTACACAACCACACCAGCAGTAGCTAATCGCAATGTGATCAATCTGAATCCAGTCTTGAGATGAAGAGGGAGGACGCCAGGTGGCACATCGGCGATGATTGTGCCGGAAGTCAGTGCTAGCCAGAAACAAGTTGTTGTCTGTGCACAGTTTCAGTAGACGGTCTCCGTTATCTGATCTGCGACCAACGAGTCCCCATCGGCCACCTAAACGACTCTCTTCTGTGCCTAGACGCCTGCCCTGAGCATTCAAGTCTCCGGCTAGTACTACAATATCTGTCGAACGCATTTTCTATAGAAGAACAGATAACTGGTGGTAGAATTCATCCTTGATTGCATTCGGGCTGCAATCTGTCGGGGCATAGGTGGAGATGACAAAAAGACATCGTTTCTCACACCGATTTCTCACTTTGATGGAACTTTTTAATCTAACAGCACATAACCGACTGTTAATGAAAATCCAATCGATTAGTGCTGCCTCAGCTCTAGTGCTTAGTGCAACACCGACGCCGGCATGACCAGACGAAGATGCCACAGGGTCCTCGGATAAGCGCACGTAAAACAAGCTTTTCGAAGCGACAGATGAAGAGCGAATTTGTAATACCTCACCAGAGTCTTGGATACGGGTTTCGGATAGACAGCAGACATCGATATTAAGACTTTGCAAAGACATAGCCAGCCCTATCTGTTGTCCAACGTTGAAGGCAGCCAGTTTGAATGATGCACGTGGTTTCAGAAAAACTGCTTCAGTACTCATATCCAGTGGTAACATACAATTTTCAACCGGACAGTGATTCGAGAACAATTAGATACAGTTGAATTTCTACCAAAGACGAGCCGCTGTATAAGTATAAAAGAGGGTGAATCATGTGGTAAATAATAATAATAATAATAATAATAATAATAATAATAATTTGAATCATTTGATTGGTATTCGAAGCCAGAAAAGTAGTTTCCATAATTATAGGCAGTTCATCATATTTTTGTGTGGGCTGTTATACTACCCGGGTGCCCAGACCGAAGCAGGTGGTTTACTTAGGAGACCACACCACGAGCCTTTGACCTGAAGGTCCAACCCACAACGCAGTGGAGCATCGCAAGGAGGTGCAGTCCCATGGTAGACGGTGACCAATGATTGGTTCATACATCATTTGTTCCCGCAGGATACTGGAGCTCATATGCACCATTGGTTTGGGATCCGGTTGAAGCGCCCGACATTCGCTTTTCGTCCTCTCATGTTCGTAAACAACACCGCTGCCATGAGAAGGCAATGAGTAGGACTTCTCTGGCAGAGGCTGTATACGCGTGGCCGCGTGAGAGTATTTCGAGAAAGGGAGCGGACTCTCCCCGCTCTCGGCCGTACCAGGGCATTTTGGGGCTTCATATGAGTTCGGAAGCCATAATACGGGAGTGTTCTAAAGTTTTCAGTTCTCAGCACTCTTTGAAATGATCCGGGTTCATAGGAATTGTCCATTTGGTACAAGGGATTTTACATCAAAATTTTGATTGCTTAGTTTTTCTAACAAATATTTCAATGTTATAAGACCTACTAATATAATGTAATTGTTCATCGCTTTTTTAATGTAATTTCAATATTCACCTAACGTACTTAAACCTTAGAACGTTTTGACTGAATATCTTCTTACGATGCACCAGATCGAAACTAATGATTAATGTAGCTGAACTGCTGAAACAATAAGATGGAGAATGTAAATGAGGGTTTGTTAGAATATTATGTGGTTTTAGCTGGACGCAAATTTTAAAAAAACCCAGGGGAAGCATAAAGTTTCATTAAAAATAATCACCCGCACATTAAGTGAGCCACTAAGTGTCCTGCTATTATCGAGTAACTAAATTTTTAAATTTATCCGGTATTTCTATGTCACTAAAGTGTAGTGCAAACTTATTTTCTCATTTAACTACGTACACAACTGAGTAATGTTGACCATATGATTGATATGAAACTTTATATCGAGAGCGCAAGGCGTGATATAATGCCTTGGGGGAAACAGTGACTCCATCAACATCACAAGCCTCTTTCCAAAATATATTAAAGAGCATGGAAAATAGTTATAGAACTTATTACTGACTATTATAAAATATTGAAAGTTGAATGAAGTATAACTCAGTTTACTGTGTTCCAAAATCCAACATCTTTTTACAACTAAAAATGGAAGTTTAGTCAGCAAAACATCAAACCTTTTGCACCTTAATTTTTGTAAAGTTTGTTAAGAAGGTAGCTTGTTACCAGAGCACTCGAATTTCAACTGCCAGAGTAGTGTGCTAGCATCAACAGTCTTGGTATAATAAAGCCTGACTGAAATCTGGGCACTAAAGTTTGGATCTGGTCACAGAATTGTGCTAACAAATTAATCATAAGTGACAGTTCAAGAATTACTTTTTATTTTCAAGAATTTTCACTATTGAAGATGATATTTAACAAGCCATAGGATAAATTATAGAAAATTAATAAAATGTTTGTATATGTGAATTATCAGTTTTATCTAAAAAAGTATTTTTCTTGTTTTTTTGAATAAATTTAGCATACGCAGGTTTTGTTGTTTCCTTTTTATTACTGTTTGTACAGAATATTTGAATACCATTCATTGTGATAATTTATCAAGGTTGTAGTATGATTCGGAGTCCATTTTCTCCTCAATAAACTAGACTTTTCCTACGTACGTTAACGGCAATTATCGAATTCATAGAACCAATTAGGCGAACTAAGTTCAGATGTGTATTCATAATACTATAAGTCAAGAATGAAATTATCCTAACTTATCTATAACATATCCCCCTTTCGCCAATATATTATTGTAAATGATTTTTAACCTAAATTTAGTGTCAAGTACGGTTAATTTTTACAGTTCTTCCTTAAATATTTTGAAGTTCGATATTCGAAAGAAAGAAACATAGCGCGACAAAGTAACTTACTGTTAAATTTAAATGTTTACTGCTCGGATCAAAATTTAGAATATTTGTCAGAAATTTGAGTGGTTGGTTATAATCGGAGAGAAAATCTGCAACCACGTTTACATATAGTTTGTACTTTTTAACGAGATATAGATCCAATCTTGGGAGTAAATGGTGGTCTTCATGAGATTCCGGATGACACAGGTAAGTCAATCACTTATACTCAACGTCCAACCTCTCCTCATTATCACAGCTAAGTGAAGTCGTTAAGGTGAACGCCAGAGCAATATCTGTAGTCTCAGTAATGGTAGTAGAGACGGTTCGTTATATGAAAATAGGTGTAAGTAGATTTTGAAACTCAGGATCTAAGAGAAAATGATAAATGAATACATCAAACATAAAACCACAAAATACAAATATATAATTAAGGTGGCCAATTTTCGTTACTGATTTCAGCAGGAAAACTATTGAAGGCCAGAAGGCGCTGATTGTTAAGACTGTTTTTACCTTAGACAACCTCGAAACATGTTGTGTCCTACTAACTTATGTGTGCTCACTAGTGAATAACTTTGAAGAGAATTTCTAAAGTTCTAGTGAAAAAAAATAATCATTTTAAAAGTGGAACAAATATCACCGGTGGATTTCGATGTTCTCTACATTTCATATAAACCAGAATTGTGAATGAGAGTCTCTGAAATCAAAATCAGTGATGTTCAAAACAGAGTTACTTAAATTTAAGAATTTTACCAAGTGGTTTGAATGTTGCCTTGCTTTGTTTTTGGTTTGGACTTTCAGTTCTAACTATAAATGGGTTAGAAATTTGCGACAACTGCGGTTCCTAATGCTAGATAGGTAGGTATTCAGCTAACAAGGAATATTTTGAATTTTATAAGTAAAGATCTTTAAACACGACACAACTGCGTGAGATTTTGTATAGGATGATAGACATAAGCATCTTAAGATCTGGTTTTTGTTAATAAACGTATAAAGATAATACTCGAATTCCCATACGAAGTTTACAGTATTTCTGTATTGTTTTCAATTATCTGAATGAGGATACTATGAATGTGGTGAACATGTTGATCAGCAAACGATTTTATACATTTTCACCACCTGCTTTCGGCAGTATTAAACGGCCCGGTGATGATTTTTATCCATGGCAATGTGTACTGGCTGAAGAAGCACCAGTACTTGCAACAACTGTTTATCGTCAAGCCGTTGATAAAGCTGATTTTGAATGTGTAATAGATGAAAGTGGTGAACTATACCAACCTAGAACGACAACTTCAGTCAGGCGTTATCATCCAAAAGATAACCCACCAACAAGTTTAGGATATTTAAAGACATCAGTCAAACAATTATTAGAAAATCTAAGTAAGTTAAATGTACGATTTAAATAAAACTACTCAGTAATTATCCAAGCAGTAAGAATTTTATACAAAATTATCTCTGTTTATTTAAATTGGATTTGAGATAACGCACCGATGACATTCGATGTGAATGGCATCATATTGCATATTGAATGAAGAACAAATCTAAACCGTTGAATTCTAACTCATTAGTTTGTAAGTATGGTCTCATCAAGTGACCTGAATCCCTAGGTTTCGACCCTGAGTAGATGTCATGAGGTGACGAGCCATACACTAGGACGAAATGTCCATGTCGTGTACTTTGGTATTCAAAGCTTCTCTAACTGACATGACTTGACGACAAAGAATAAGAACTTCATTATTATCAGCATAAAATATAAAACTGAACATAATCAGTAGTTTTAAGAAAACAATGACTTGAATTCGCAGAATTCTTCCAACAAATCAATGATTTTAACAACAGATTGTCACTTTACACCTTTTATTTAACAACTAACAGTGATGAATTCATTGGAAATAGCCGACTGTAGCCCACCTAGTCCTATATTTTCACCATTAACAGTATTCTTTTCTATAGGTGCGATCCCAACTACTTGAATGCAACTCCTCAAGTGTGGATAATTAGAACTTACAAAAAACTTAAAAATACGTTACCATTTCTAGCTGACGTTTATGCTGATGATGTTGTTCAGAAGAACAATGAAAGCTCTGCAACTAAATCACCCAGCTCAAAGAACAAATCCCCACCAAAAGCTTTAACACTGTAAAATATCTTTATAAATTCTATATTCCATTTTTCTCCTTCGCTCTTTCTCCCCCTGGTAATCCGTGGATTTCACTAGCTAATATTTAAACTCTGTCTTATTACTACCTATTTTGTAGGATTATGATAAATGCTAAATTGTAGTCCAACTTTATGAAATTTCAAGTATCATAGGTATCACGGCATTTTCTACATAAATTGGGTACTAATAGACATGGATTTCAAGCATATATGAATAAGACATAACGTTTGTAACATGAATGGATATTACAATAAGTTGCATTATGTTTTTTTCAGAGTGGTCTCCAATTCGTAAATGCACCTATCTTCAGATTTTATAAATCATCGATTACTTTTATATACATTAATTAAACCTATCCCGTTGTGCAACACACTCATTCGATAATACATTAGAAGTTGGGTAATAAATGTTTTTTTCCTAGCATACGTGTTCACCAGACAAACTATCAATGAAGGAAGAGAACGAATGCATAGTGAGAGGTATGCGGATTCAACTCATCAGTCAAACCAATGAGTAAATTTTTGCATGAATTTATATTATAGCTCAAGGATAATATACTCATACAGGTATAAACAGTCACATATATATAAAAATATGATATAATGGGATAAGTTAAGGATTATTCATAAAAATAATCACATGGATTACAAATCTTTTTTGTGTCAAAGAAAAATAGATTTGTTTAACGTGTACCATCTCCGTCTGGAGCCCATCTAGGGTTACTACCGGTCCCGAGCCCATATAAAGAAGGACGATTAAGCATGGGGTTAGAAACCTCATCCCATAGAAACACAACTTCGCTGAAAAGACGCTAACCAGGAAAAACATCACTCGAATCGTTGGAACTTTGTCCTGAGAGTTGGAGGGTGTTCATTTAGAAAAGTTATGACGCCTCATGTTGAAACCCGGGATTCCCCAAAGATCATGAAACTGATCTCTCTATTAACAACCACAGCAACAATCAAAATAAGTACTTGGAATACCCGCAAAATATGAGAGACCAGGAGGACCAACAGAATATCTACGAAAACGAAAAAATAAAACCTGTCAGTGCTCGCGATAAGCGAAACTCACTAGACGCCGGCTGGACAGAAAAGACCAGGTTCAGGAGAGTTACCGTTGTACTCATGAAGAAGAAAATGCTTCTCACACACAAGGAGTTGCACCGATCCTGTCCGACGAAGCAAGAGAAGCACTTATATGGTGGGGGTCTCATGGATCCAGAATCACCAAAGCATTCTTCAAGACAAAGAGGTAGGGGATTACAATGGGCGTTATCCAGTGCTATGCACCCACTAATGATGGCAACGAAGACTATGAAGATCCATCTTATGAGAGGCTTCGGTCAGTCGTATAGAGGTGCCCAGGAAAGGACCTGATCATCCTGATGCGAGACCTATATGTTATAGTCGGAATGGAAAACACCAGGTATGAATATATTATGGGAATGGTGAGAGATTTGTAAATCTGTATGCCCTGAAAAGATGGTTGTAAGCGACACAATATTCATCCACAAACGCATACACAAGTTATATGGGTCTCACCGGATCACATCACAGAGAACCACATTAATCACAACTGCATCAATAAAAGGTTTGAAAGGTCAATGGAAGACATGAAGGAAAAAGAGGGGGAGCTGACATAGCTTTAGATCACGATCTGGTGGTGGCCAAGATGACTGTGAGAAAGCATTTGATAGCGTGGATAGGAGAACCATATGGAACCTTCTTCGATACCAAGGTATGCCTGAGAAGACTGTCACCACTATACGAAAGTTTTTACGGTGGATTACACTGCAACGTCGCTGTTGGAGGGTAGCTCACAGATATGGGTTATGAAATAAAACCCAGTACAAGGTGTGTTGAATAACAACTACTCACAAAGGTGATCTATTTACGCCTTATACCCATTTATTTCTTGCTATTTCTTAGCCTAGATCTATCCTAGAAATATCAGTGTCAATTATCTAACAAAAGGATTGCACATGCTTTATACCACCTTCACATAAAGAATAAGTCGAGACTAGAAGTGGCATAGTGGTAGATTAATAAAATGTAGTAGACGTGGAACAATTTTAACAATCATTCATGGGATCGTTTATTCTATTTGGATAAACTGAAAAAGCTGTGAATATAAGATCTTTCAGGAAATGGAGAAGTTATTGTCATAATTTGTGTAGTTCCAAGTACTTAGAAAACCCGCTGTCAGAATAAAATGAGCAGAGCCCATATAGGGAGCTAAGAAAAAAGAAATCTTCTATTGAGCTGAGAGAATATGATATTTCGTAACCAAATCTTAAAAACTAAAGTCACCAAAGCAATACAAAATTGATAAGACTTTAATTCATTTTTGTATTGTTTGTTTGGATCCTCTCATTGATTTTTAGGAATCCGATTGACCAGTCTCTTATTGGCATATGTGCATCCTGCACGGATTGCATCGACATCTCCATTAGGTGAAAAGCGTTATAAGCAGGGCTGGATGGTGTCTAGCAGTGGAATACAGGACGCGCATCCCGTCATGTTTAGAATTCGTCAGTCGCATGCACCTGCATCCCAGAGTTGACGTTCACTCTGGGATTCGAACCCAGTGACATTCGCTTTAAACGCCCTCGCGTTATCCCTTTTACCACATTGAGCAAACTAGTGGCCATCTGAACACAGTAGCTAAGTGGATAACGCAATGGTGTTTGAAGCGAACGTTGATGGGTTCGAATCCCAGAGTGAACATCAACTCTGAGATTCAGGTACGTTTGACTGACGGGTCTCAAATAGGACGAGACGTGTGTCCTGGATTCCACTGCTAGACACCATCCATCTTTGTTTAGAATGATAGGACTTTAGTTTATAAACAGAAATCCGACTTAACCTTTCGTATGCTAAAATAAACTAACATTAAAAACTGGAAATTAGCCATTAAAAGTTATTTCGCTCATGCAAAACAATACATTTATAAACAAAATATTTAACAAATTTTAGTATATTTTATATATGGCTAGGAATAGAATTCAGGAAGCATATTTCATTCTATTGAGGGAATCATCAGGCAGAAATCCCTGTATTTTATTGTTGACGTTTACACTGAGACTCGAACCCAGTACCCTTTCCTACCAACACCTGACAAATCTAAACAGGAACAAATAGATTCCTGAACTCTACTGCTAGCAACCAAACATAATAAAAACATGTTACACAACTCGCTGTCAGTGAAATCCTCTCAGGACCCACATATAACGACAGAAACTGATCATTTGCAGTCCTGAATATCAACAATAAAGAGTTACAGAAATTTCATAAACGGTAAATATAATTCAAATCAATTCAAAACGTAATTGACTACAGTCGACATGTTTTGTACTTCACTCACCAGTCAATAAAACGCAGACATGATCGTTCTGTTTAACTCTTAATCTTCATATCACTTTCGAGTCCAGTCACTTCTGTATTCTCTAACTATAAAATCTAATTATGAATTTCGAAAACTAAGTGACCTTCAACCGTACTACTAACTTGGATAAAAAGTAGTATTCCTGCTTTTTCTTATTTTTTATAAATTCCTTTTATTTTTGTCGAATTTTCAGATCCCAGTTCGAAATCTTCGTTGAATTATCATAGTTTATTTATTTCCCCAGTACATCAAAATCTATTGGAAGCGCGCTTGAAACGTCTAAAATTAGAAGAGAAAATGCTAATGCAAGCAGAGAAACTAGACATGTTGGAAAGAATAAGAAAACCACTACCTAGATGGTATGTATCCTAAATAAGGGAAATTATTTTATTGCCAATTAATGTTCAGTAATAAACTGGCTAACTAGATCCGTACAGTAAACTAGAGTGCTTTGCGAATCACTATAAAACCAACTTGAGACTTTCATTTACCCACCCTAGATGAAGATAATGTTAGAAACCAAGGCAGATACAGTGAAAAATTCAACCGTCAATTCGTTTTTTCGACTAAGTAATTTGTTGAACCAGGATGAATTTGAGAGTTCTTGGTATATTTTTTACTGGAATAGGCAACTGTTTATGCAAGTACTCAATCATTTACTGTCATGTTCAAACCTTCCGCATATTTTTTGTGAACAATCACTTGTCTTAAAATTTAAAGGTTTATCACTGAATGTCATTTTATTTTCTCTGATTTACTGTCTAGAGAAATTGCTGTTATTTTGACGGTGATATTCGCAACTTTTTATGTGACTGACTTGTCTTGCAGAGCACAAAGTTACTATTAAACCTAAATTACTCATTACCAGGTTTTCAACAATTTATCAGTAATAATTTCATTCAAATTATCCAGAGAGTTAAGAATATTTTGCATCTAACCTCAAAAATGAGACTACTGGAAATTCGATGAGCAAATTACGTAAACATTTAAGGACCACCGATTACAACAATCAAATACTTTTGTACATTTAATACACTGAGTTGTTAACATCCAATCGTTAACAAGTTCACACCTAACCTTCAGGTAGATTGTTACTAAAAGAGAGTACATATACGTTTGTGTGTTTATATGGTCATGACAAATCAGTTAGGAGGCACAAAAATGAAAAAAAACACATTAAATCTAGCACACAGGGATGCGGTTATTGGATTGCTATGTTTTAATCGATTACAAATTTACCTAGTCTGCAACGGAACAAAGACTCTAGGACCAACGACCAGTAAGCTAGTTATTCAGATGCTTCCCAGCCCTGGTAACTAGAGATATAACACCACCAACATGGGTGAATACAGAAACACACGAAAGTTAGTTTAAACCATATCAATTAATAATGTTAAACTGTAAATCAGAATTGGAAATCTTACCTGTCTAGTGATTTTCATGTCTTACTCCACAAAATTTCCGTACATTTTTTCATCACTCAATCAATCAGTTATTTTGTTAACCAAAATGTTACAAGGTTCTGCAAATCCTAACACGTATAAGAACGAAATGCTTTGAAAGATAAAAAGACAGATCAAATAAAATAATAAAGTCGCTGTTATTAAACTTTTATCTTTACAATAATGCTTAATTAAATAGGCTATAACTGATAATTAAGATATTGGTTAAGTAAGCGGTTTTTTATTCATTTAAAGAGGACTACAAAATGGAGATTATATCAAACAAATGTTAGAAAATTCATTATAACTCCTGTCAGCTATTTTTTAAATTCAACACTCAGTCATGGACAACGTAGGATCTGATACGTATGTACGTTGATCCAGATTGTTGACAACAGGTTTAACATCTGACTTGATTGATATTGATTTTATCACCAAATCCTTAGCCATTATCATATTAATGTAAGTAGAACGATGATGGTGAACTAATTGGGAATAAAGATTTCGCTGCTCAAATACAGACTTTTTAATGTTGAAATAGTAATATATAATTGATATTTTAACTTGATGCCCTTTTTTTATAGACATTTGTGTCGTTTTTTTTCTCAAGGTACACAATTAGAACTCCACAATTTTTCTATGAAGCTCGTAAGCATAATGAATTATTGAAAAGTCATCAGTACTCAGATTATTTATATTAAAATTAATCTAACTTTATATGGTAGTATCATGTTTCATGTTTTTGTGCTTGATAAATGTATTTGATATGTGTGAAATACTTGGTAATTGTTTAAAAATGATTATTTGTTATTTTATGGTAAACAGTTTAATTTTAAAATGGGACGATACTAGACCTTCATAGAGTTTTAATAAAAAGCCAAGGTTTTTATAATGGGATGCAAAAGTTGATGTCAACCAGTGGCAGTAGTATGAGGAACCAATGAAAGGATAGGTTATGTTTAGGACCTCACTGGAGTTAAATATTCTGGTCAATGAATTTGAATGAAGAAACATGAAGGCTGTTAACTAGTTGGTTGTCGAATCTGAAAGAAAAATAAAGTCATAACGAGTCGGTTCACATCAAAACTGTAGGAGGATAATGCGGACAATTCATGGAGCATAATGCGAGTAAATGTTTGTTACTCTTTATTTCAAAACTTTGAAATCAACATGTGATAATGAGTAACGAAACCTTGAAATATATATTCACTGTACAAAACATTTGAAAGCAGAAATGTACAATACCGTCTACTATTACAGTTGAGCTGAAACTAGGTTATACATATATTCACCAGTCTAATCTTAATAAGTTATTTTAAATCAATAGGTAATTGGTAGGGATAATAATTACTTTAAGTTATTCTCATATATCTAAAGATGATAATTTTTCAAATTATTTTCATATATCTGGACAATCATTAAAGGCCAGAGATAACTGAAGAATTGATTCATCGTGGTTTCAAGCAACTTACAAGTAACTAACTCTCTGGTTAAAAAGAAAGGAACTAATTATGACTGAAGCTTTAGCCCAAACACAACAAAGTTGACATTTGCAGTTTGTGTGTGATTCGGCAAACAGTTTGACTATCACCTGGTGGTTTCATTGAGAACCTATACTTAATTCCAATTTAAATTATTCCGGAATTTTGCGTATCTCTGTTGAGCATTGGATTAGTGGAATTATTCCTCAGTAGGAACATAACACAATACCTATAATCAAGTCATTCAGCAAATTTTCAGCCAAATCTAGAATCAAAACCATTAATATCTTTTTCTAATCTAACTGTTCAAACACCTAGAATACAACTAATTAGGCATTGTTCTTACAAACTTTCAAAATAACGGTGTTATTGATAACCAAATACGTATTTCATGAGTTTTGTAACCAAAGCAACTCTGAAACTGAAGTCTCTCTTGTCTTTCCTTTTAAGATTTATGTCTGCGGTTCAAAAGTTGCATATTAGCGAGTGTTCAAACTGTTTACAAACTCAGTACAAATAATTAACGTTACTGATAAGGACACTGAAAATTTAAAAAAATAACGAGCAATATGAAGAATGAATTTCAACTATTACTAAAAATTGGTCCGTTCATTTAAGTCAAATTTATAAACTTTAGAAGATAATATTTCAAATGAAAAACAAATAAGTTGCGTGATGCTATACTGTTTACGCTCGATATTTCTCAACCTTTTAAACATTACTCTGAACACTAAATATATTTAACAAGAAAGTGGAGAATTTGTGGAGCTTGACTGAGTGGAATTTGGTCTTCATAGCGAACTGGTATTAGCTACAGATCTACTGAAAACGACGGAGCATTGAATTGCTATTTTGGACTAAACATTAGTTAGCATCCACAACACCTTAGTAGGATTGAACCAAGGAATTCAAGATTTACCAATAAGAAGAGTAACTTGGGATTCTGATTTAATGGTTTGAAGATTTACCGCTTGTAGCGAGGCCCAAAACTCATGTGTTAAATCCAGTGTGGGGGGAATGAGTAAACACTTGAAATGTTCCAAACATGGAAGAAATAGTTGTTTATTATCTAACAGTTCTCAATCACTGTTACACCTCCCCGAATATTAGTCAGTAATATAAAACCTAGAACCTGACAAAGCATCGGTTTAAGTTGTCACATCACACTAGCACTTACACCTGTTACTCTTCATAGGAGCATAGGCCGCCGACCGAAATTCTCTAACCTAACACAGCAAGGTAGTATAGTCGAAACGAATCCTATTGCACTTGAAGTAGTAACAAAACTGTTAGTAGCAGAAAAGGCTAGGTGTAGATAAAAAGAAACCTAAAGAATGGGCAAAAACAAACAGTGAACGCATCTCTGCTATTTTCGATGATTTTGAGCAAATTTTGGAAACTTCAAATATTTTTAGTATGTGAATTATTCTCGGCTATATTGCCCAAATTTGAATTACAACTTGATTATATGTTCTAATTTGAGAAACAAGTGAAATAAACAAAGATATTAGTAAACCGGATTCAAACTACATAAAACTTGAAGATCAGCGTTGAACACAGTCAAGTTTACGAATGTGAAACATTTCCATTTTAAGAAAATGCAGCCCGAATTTCATGAAATCAAAGAAGAAAACTCATTGGTAGTAATATATTTTGTTTATCAAACTTTATAAAAAAAAATCAATAATTAGACCTACCTGTAGAAAATAAACAGTGATTGAAGCCGATATACGCTATTTTCGCTTTTCAATAATAATCAATCAAAATATGTAAATAAATAGTGGGTGGCCTTTGATAAATAGAGTTAATCGCTATCGGTTAATTGATTAAGTGTACGCCAATAAAATGATATCGATCCATCTGAATATATATATAGTGCGTGCTACCGATGTCGATAGACATAAGTAGTATGCATCATCAATCGAAAGTGAAATACCTGGCAGCAGAAGTTTAAGAAGATCGAAGAAAAGAGAACGAGAAAAAAGAATGATTGCTGTGGAAATGAAGGCACAGTGAAATCTGAGAAGATTGATCGACAGTTTGTATGGTTCTTAGATTTTACTAAGAGATTCTGTAATTTTGTGTTCAAATATATTCGATTGTCCACACTAGTGTTTTCATTCACTACAAAACGACTATTTATACAATATCATTTTTAATAACAACAGTAAAGCTATTTTTCACTATCCTCTGATAAATACTGCGATTATTTGGACAGTCACAAAATAAAAAATGTTTAACAACAGTATTACTTAACTCTTACAAATACTGCTGCTTACCGGTAGATTCTAGTAGTAGTATCTTACACTGCGTTATTTCTCGGATAATCCTTAGATGATACAGTTTGGTAGCAAATGATGTTGAGCAATTACTATAACTATTCTTAAAATCCCAAAAAGATGAAAAGTAACCTTAAATCCCTTTAAACCGGTCAGTTTCTTTGAGAAAATCCCTAGATATCAAGATAGTGACATATTTATGTCTTTCTCTAACTTGACTGGTTGGATATCCAAGTTTTTTTCTATCATTTTTAAACTTCTCAAAATAGTTCTATAACCACATAAACACTACTTAATTTCTGCAGTAAAATAGGTTTTAGTAATTAACCTTTCCTTTATTAAACACAGAGAACAGTTACATCATCAATAGTCAAAACAACAACAAATTAGAAAGTTTCAGAAAATTCTCAAATACACATTACAGCACGGGAGACAAATTTAACACATTGGATAATAACAGATTGATCGTTGATTTATCAAATAGAAAGCTTAATATACACGAAATTTCTTACATTAAAAAAGGGTCTTAATTTCCACGATTTTATCACCTTTCGATATTATACCTGCAATTAAACCAGCATTGAATTGCCTTCCTAATAAGAAAGCGGATGACGCGTGAAATGAAATTGTGGACACTTGATTACATCAAAAACCACACATATCTAACCTAGCTAAAAATGAATTATATGCATGAAAACAGTTAAGAAATGATAGAATATTTATTATCACGAGAGCAGATAAGAAGAACACGACTGTCATTATGAAAAATCAGACAATAAGAGAAAAGCTAGGGAACATCTTCAAAATGTCCCGTATGATTCCACTAACAACCGACTATACCTAATAAACTTGAGGCTGAAATAAACAGTCTTACAGTCCATTAGAATAAGACTATGACCATCAGAAAGTTGTAATCCCTGTAGATCCTACGGACTACCAAATGTTCACAAGAATAATGAACCACTTAGACTAGAGGTTGATTTTACAAATTCACTGACACATAAACTAGCGAAATACATAGTGATGTGAACATAGAAACAAGGAGCCCTGACAAACTACGAAAGATATTTTCCGGGACGTTATTTCATTTTATTCAAAGCTTGTAGAACACTAACATTTATTTTTGTCCCTAATCTATTCTACAGAACACAAGCTTTCGTTTGATGTATGATTCACTGTCATACGCTTTTTTATTCCGAAGCTATTGTAATTTAAACAGATTATTTTGTACTCTAATTCCCAGCTTTGGACATAATTGTATTTTCCTAATTATTGTACGTTGTGATCAGGTTAATCATCTATTTATTCACAAAAAAACTCGGGAATAGATCGAGTTGTCTTGTCTTCTCTCACTCGCGTGCTTTCCAACCAATCAAGTGATAGAATAGTTTTCTTCTCTCTACCCCACTTCGAACTCACGCGTACTAACCTCAAGGTTAAGCGGGCAGCCTATCGCGTCAAGGTCATAATCTAGATTAGAAAAGTTAACCTCAGCAACAAAAAGTGGGTAACAGACCAAGGACGTAACACATAGCCAGGATACTCAAATAATAAAACGAATTGGTTAATCGTGGACTCAAAAAATCTACTGAATTCAAGAATAATATTGAAACCATTCTCATGGGAGAGGATAAATTGATGGCAAGTTTCGATGTTTCTTCCTTATTTCTTAATGTATCAATCAACAGAACATTGGATGAGTGTTTAGAATCCGACACACCTGAAATTACGTTGATGCCCGCGAGATCCTCCCGAGGTTATTAAGTGTTTAGAATCTTGTTTACGATCCACCCTATTCCTATTTCGAGGGTATCTATAGAGACAGAAAGGTGTGGCAATGGGTTAACCAGTCTCTCTGATTGTAGAGAATTTATTCATGCATCCCTTAGAAACCAGTGCGACCACAAAACGTGTAAATCTACCCAAAGTTTGGTTGATGCATGTAGATGACTCTTTTTTTCATCATTAAACGAAATGTTGTAAAAGAAACATTTGAAAACGCAAATAACATATCAGACAGCATTGAGTTAAGTAAGGAGGTACAGTCCACTAACCACAAACTAGCGTTTCTTGATTTTTAGTTGAAAGAAGACATAACAGTAAGTTAAAACTTGATGTATTCATAAAATCAACACATTCTGAGAGACACTTAGATTATAGTTCAGCTCATGCTTGTTGTGCGAAGGTCACAGTGGTCAAAAATTTCATTAATAGTTATAATCTCACTGTGGTGAAAGATCAACAAACTGAACTGAATATATTATTGTCTACGTCTAGGGCAAACAATTACCCTAAAGAGCTTTTAAAGAAGATCGTTCGAAATAAGGTAAAAACAAAGAATGGAAGAACACAGTGGTCACCCCATCCGGTAGAGAGATATCGGAAGAAATTAAGATTCTAAACGAACACAATATAAGTGTATTTTTGGACTAGTGAAACCATAAGATCCCCGCAAAGTTAAGGATAGGGTTTCCAAAGGAAGAACAACAGAATGTTGATTATGAGATCAACTGTCAAGATTGTAATGCAGCTTACGTGGGAGAAACATCTAGACGATTGAATGGGGGGATGAGGGAACAAAAACAGCGTTTGGAACATGTTCCCAAATCCCCAGTGAATCTAAAGAAACATGAGAATAGGTCGGCGATATCGTTCCATGAGTTACGAACAGGACACAAGATCAAATTCGAAGGGACCGAAATACTTCAGAAAGAGTTTGGCACACATAAAGAAAGATTGACAACAGAGGCGTTGTATTTATGGGCTAATAAGATCCTAAACATAAAAGATAGTATTCAACTACCTAACCCTTGGAAGACGACAATTAACAAGTAATTAGATCCTATATCTATGCAACCAGTTTATTCTACATGCTCTGTAGTTCTGGGGGAAATTAATTTGAATATTTTATCACAACTATGTGTTTGATGATTCTCGTTTAGTGTACACATTGACGTTTCAAAAGATATTTTCAATCTGCATTTTTATTCTTACTTTAACAAAAATAAATTAACACTTAAAATCAACTATTAATAACTCAAACACATATACACACACACTATCAATCAGTCATCTACATTTATTTATTTTCAGTGTGAAATATTAGTGGATTAGTTGGAGTTATACATTACCAGTGTTGAATGCCGGCTCAGTGGTCTAGAGGCTAAGTGTTCGCGCGAGAGACCGTTAGGTCCTGTTTCGAATCCTGTGAGCCGGGTTGTGGATGCGCACTGCTGAGGAATCCCGTACTAGGGCGGAACGGCCGTTCAGTGCTTTCAGATTTTCCATGGTTATCTAGCTTTAATCGACTCACGACTTCAACTATTAAACAAATTAACAACTAATATCAACTAGTTATAACGTAAACTTACATATACACACGCATATATTTACATATTTATCTATTTTTGCATAATTCACATGTCCTACTTAATAAAATTAACATCTGAACATTATTGGATAAAGAGGGAATAGATTTCATTTAATCATTAAACATTGTATGTTCTTTGATAACTTCGATTTTGATCATTACACTGAAGAAGTCCAAATAAGTTTGCTGGACAAAATGTTGGAATTAAAATGGTTAAGATTAGTTCAAATATAATTTTAACACTGGCATCGGTTTTTGTGATTGACCCTATCAAACTAGATCAACTCGTAATGCAATATACTTTATTATTATTACTGTTATCATAAACCATGGCTATAACATGTCAGAAATAGAGCTGACGTAGACACCATGTAGTCACTTTGTAAATCCTTTCCCCATTAATATATTTATTAATACTGTCTAGTTATTAATCATTTTTCAACTCCATTAAGAATTATACTTTTAAATAATAGTTTCATAAAAATCATTCTATTATCTCTTGCACATTGTAACAGTATTTATAAGTCTAATAAATTGATGATAAGATTTGACTCGGTAAATTGATTCCCCCCTCCCATCACTGACGTTTCTATTTGCTTGTAAATTAGTCAGAAATCAGAAAATTGCTGTACTTAGAGGTAAATTGATTCCCCCCTCCCATCACTGACGTTTCTATTTGCTTGTAAATTAGTCAGAAATCAGAAAATTGCTGTACTTAGAGGTAAATTGATTCCCCCCTCCCATCACTGACGTTTCTATTTGCTTGTAAATTAGTCAGAAATCAGAAAATTGCTGTACTTAGAGACTCCAAAATATTTCATTCACAATTTAGGATTAGTTGTCTAGATAAATAGGGAATAAATGTATGGTGATAATGGAAATTTTATCAAAAAGAATTGTTGTCTTAGTAACTCTTGGTCGGACTTTTTATGAGCTTATGTTGATTTGTAATGTATATATTCCATCAGTGTTAGAAAGTCTATTTATAAAAACTCAGCTACAGTCGTATAGTGAAAGGGCTTTGAGGCAAATACTATGACAGTTCTAAAGTACACATGATTGATGAAGTTTCGTCCCATTCGACTAGCACTGTTAATGACCACTTCTTGAACGTACACTAAGTTACTCAATATGAACTTATGGATTACTCATTCGAGTTAGTGATAACAAGAAATACATCACGTTGTATTCTTAATTTTTTTGTGTCCAGGGGTAGGAAATAATCCAGGTAGTATAAACCCAGTATGTTGTTCAATATACTCATTAGGATGTTCGGTTGAATTATGTACGAGTTCAGAAGTACGTAACAATTATGATGATGAGAGGTCCTTACTGAATCAAAAATCAAATTATTGAACGCTAAATAAATTGAAAATAATGTTCAGTTATTTGAACAGATGATAAAACCATACCTAATATGTAATAGATGAAGATCGACTTATGATGAATACTATATAAAATTATTCGAGCTAACATTTTATTATTTAGAGTATTCGATAAAAAAATTTTAGTTTTACTCCTTTAATATCACCTTGCACAGTTTCTGGCTATTACGTATTAATATGATTTAACAATGCTACATAGCTGAACCAATCAAGATACAAATGATGAATTTTATTCATGATGACTGACAATTTGAGTAAATATGTAGAGAATATCTAAGTAGAGTGGTTGGGAAGCTTAGGATTGATAAGAATTTGTTTGCTGTTATGATGGAATAGAAATGGAAATACAAATCCAAAACACACGGAACGCTCAACAGTACTGATGCAAAGTGGTGATAAAGGAGTCTCAAATAAATCATATTATTAGTTAGCATTTTTGTAGTGTTAAACTACTCATATATCCTTCAGATAGTTGTCCCAATTTTCGAGTAATTTTGCAAATATATCGAAGTCAATGTGTAGTCATCTGGAAAACTACTTACGGCTTTATAAAGAGTTAATGAAGAAACTAACCTAGACTCAAGCGCTGAAAATTTTGATTTTGAAGTTAAAAACTTATCAAAAACATTGACAAATTTGTTAGCAATGTAGAAATAAACTCTTTATTACTTTTTTAAGAGGAATTTTGTTGACCATACCTCTAAATTAACTCATTTACCAGTAGGCAACATAAATATTTTAAGATTGCTGAAAGTTCACGATGTAGTAGCGTTTCATCAGCTTTGCAAATAAAAAAAAACTTATTAACACTTGTTCGTACAATTATCACTCAAGTATTAATATAGAAATTTAAGACAACATTGAATTTCTCCGTTTTTAGTAAAATCACATTAGTAGATCAAGCGTCACTTGACAACTTACGAACACTACATAAATTATACAATGTACTCGGATATTTATAATCATATGATTCGGTTCTGAGATTATTCGGAATAAATTAGGATAGTTTTAAGATGACGAATAATGTATGAAATTTATTTAACGAATACATTCTATGCATCAGTATGTGAAAGATTGCTGATAGATAGAGGACAGGTTATTATGAAAGCACCAGAACCATACTATATCATTTTTTATCCAGTGAAATATACAACACTGAAATAGTTTTAATAGAAAATCTACACGATTAACAAGAATTTGATGAGTAAAACTGAATAGATCTGGTTCACAAAAAATCTCAAACAGACAGTCACATTTACTCAAAATTTGTCTAATATGTGTTGAAGAAGTTATCATTAAGAATAACAGGTTTTTCCGGTCGGTCAATTCTTTTCTGGCTTGTATAGTCAGATAAGTAGATGATCTATGTGTAACCGACAGGCAAACTGAATCTTTAGAACAAAACTTCAAATATGATAGTGAACCTAATGCTTTCATTTATCCGTCATATGAAAATTCTCCAATAAAAAAGAGCTATTCGCCTCAAATAGCATACAATCGAAAACACACTGATGATGAAGAAGATTAAAGATTAAAATTATCAAATTTGACCTACGATATATTTATCATACTCAAATACAAAATAATTTAGAGGAATATAAAAGAATTCTAAACAACAACTAAGTGAGAGATGTTTGTGAACAGTGAGAAAAAGAACAAGTGTGATGCATACATGTAGAAAAAACAAATTGTTCGTGTATATACGAATAAATATCCAATGCAACAAGTAATATGATATGTCCAATGATAGTATCAACGGATTTAAAGCTCCTCTGTATTTAAATGACGATATGCCACTTTGCTATTCAGATCAATTCTACTAACACGAGAACGTGTACAACACCCACCGTATATATTGTACAATATATGCTGAAACATGTAAAATACACAGTTCAAGAATGAACAAATAAACACTATTATTTATTCAATTGGCAGAGTAATTATTACAATAAAAAAGAAACAAAAATTATCTCTATAAATATGAATTAGATCTAATAATGTCACTTGCATTACGAAGGATATCATTTAAAAAACCATCTAGGGTTAGACAACTATTTTTTCCTAGGTTGATTAACAGCCTCATGTCGTGCTCATTAACCACTCCATACGAAATCCAACTCAGGAGTATCAAATTCAGCTGCAAATACAGTCATTTTAGGCTACTGAGTTGACATTCAGAGGTCTATCTCTCCAAATTTGGCCAAATTATTATGTAGCGCGAAAAATATCCGCTGTTATCAGTGGATAACTACTTCATTAGCGACGTGATTTAAGTTACAAAGATGGGTTGGGACTCAGTGATAACGCTTCATTGAGTAAGACCTGAAAAATTTTGACTCGATTCCTCGGGAAGTGATGAGTGTAGAGTGCTGCTTACTTGAAGATATCGCAGACTGAAACCAAACGAATGTATCAATGCTTTCTCCACTACTTAACTATTTATCTTTAATACATAATTGTGTCACATTTAGCTTGCAATAGTCGACGTAATTTGAATGGTATGCCGATTTCATTCACAATATAGTTTGGTGGCCCTTTGAGCTTACCGCTTCCAATGTTAGCAATTTAATACAGGTTGAATAAAAGGTATTGTTGCTTAAAACTCTGAAAAGTAGTTCTGTTGATGCATGCTATATCTCGAGAGTCGACACTCTAAATATCGGTGAAATATTGAGTAATTTTTCCGTAACTTGACCTATGAAGTTCGTTTCGTGTGTGATCATCTAGGAGATGGATATGGGGTCATTGTCTAATAACTAAAGCACTCGAATATCCAGCAGCTGATTGGACGTGTACGCCCCATTTCATATACTTCGGTCCCAATAACCTGGAAGTATCTCTAACTCTTATGATGAGATTAAATACTATGTAAATAAACAGGTGTCTGAAAAACCAGTTATAAGTTATAAATTCTACGTACTCAGCTTTATTATTTATTTATTTATTTATTTATTTATTTATTTATTTATTTATTTATTTATTTCAACACATAGATAATGGTACAAAGAGGCACCAAATACATATGCGCCTAATTGCATATAGATGATTAACAGTGCTTCACTGCAGATGCCTGATAAAAGTTAATTCAATTATTGGAACTGAAAAATTCCTGAGATACCAAGAACAAAGTTTCTTTGTACAAATTTCTTCATAAAACAACACAAGTGAAAATACTTAGAGATGTGAAGAATTCTAGATATATTCCCTAGACTTTTATATAATGAGGCATTTAACTACGGGTTAAAGCTTTAGTTTAGGTATCTTTATTCGATAACTATAAAAGAATGGTTTTATGGTATCTTAATATGGTCGTAATTATAAGCTGTCTTTTGATTCACTGATTATTGTTCCGATTTTTTAACAGGTCAGAAATAACAGCCGGTTAACCATTTATTTCAACACATAAATATCGGTACAAGAGGGCACCAAATATATATGCGCCACACCATATTTGTGTGTGTGTGGGCTGTGATACTGCCCGGGTGCCCAAACCGAAGCAGGTGGTTTTCTTAGGGGGCCACACCCCATAGATTTCACTGAACTTTGTAAATAAAATATTCGGATAATATGGACGTTGAAATTTATACTCCGTTCTATGTTTTGATCCAATATTTTACTTTTTGTTATTAATGGCTTTATTCAATATTATAGTTTGGTACAATATAGATGTACTCATGTGGATTCCAAATGCAATAGCACCGAGTTGTGACAATTTGTCTTAGTATTTCTTTTGTTAATTGTTTTGAAAAAATGGGAAAAGGTGTAACCTATTGACCACATGAGACAAATAGAGTAAGTTAACGAACTTATCGTTAATGAAGTGGAGGAACATAATACAGTCGACATACAACCAATAGAAATGGCTAAATAACTGAACTTGAGAACTTACACAAAGAGGTTTCCAAATGCACAGAATAAGCACAACTAGAATGCAGCATAGTACGAGGACGTAACTCACGGATATATCGGGAGTATCTAGAATAAAAAATAACAAGGTGGAAAAACAGCATGTCCTTGATATATTTGACTGTACACTTGCTGAATCGAAATATAAAACACTGATTAGAATATAAGGTAGATATTTTAAAGGATTTTACTATAGAAACGACGCCTTTGCGGTACGTTTGAAATTTGCGTTACGATAACACGGTATCTAATATATATTGTTTGAATACTGTTGAATCCTAGTTTATAACTCATAAATAGCTTTAGGATTTATACTTAAAGCGATATGGGTCGACTGTCAAAAAAACGAGCCCAGAGAAGCCCTAATACTTCAGATAATAACAATTCTGTTGTTACCTATTCCCATGCTCTGCTACTCTTTATGAAGCTGATAATCTTGGGAGTGGTCTTACACTACGCCTGATGCTGGATGACTCTGTCTCTAATTTAACAATGAGTTCCACCTCAAGATCAAAAAGTATCAATAACATTAAGAGTGAATTAAATAATATCTTTAGGCAACTAAACAACATGCGTTCTAAAGTTGAGTCACTTGCTAGCTCTTTATCAAAGCATGATGATCTGAAACAAGAAATAAAGACACTATCATCCCTTAAACTGCATTTGTCAAAAGATATCGTTCCTGTGGAACTTGATGACATTATAAGAGCAGAATCTGTTATCGAATTTATCGCTAATGAAGTTACCAAGCGAATAGTCTCTCGAAATAACGTGGTTGTCTATAATATACTTGACAAAATCCCCATTAAAACTGTAAGGAATTCTATATTAAAAGCATCTAACCTTCAAGACAATCCATGCCAATGCATTCGACTTAATAAAAAGCACCAGAAATACTCGCGCTCGGTTTTGTTCAGATTCGATTCTCATATATTAGCTGAACAGTTTAAAGAATCCGGGCGGCTAATCTGCGCGCTTACGAAGCTTAGAAACGCTCGTATAGTCTCAGATAAGACCACCAATCAAAGACTTACTCAAAAACTTACCTTGAACGAAAATAAAGGCGTTGAGAACGTAAGAAATCACGATGCATCAGCTGCTGGATTCACTGACGCAACTACCCTATCTCATGTTCTCCAGTACTCTGATTTACCAACGAAGAGTGCTAATTTGCCTATTATGCCTGTAGTGACATCTGATAACCAATGTACATCTAATGACGACACTAATCTGATATTATCCAGTTTACCATTAGAAGCCTATAAGCAAATAATTTGTTCTAATGCGACAGCTCTTAAAAACACTGTCAAGATTAAAAAGTCTATGCCACGTAAGAAGAATGTATGTACAGAACCTTCTGGTTCTAGACCCAATAACAAAAATATTACGATGGCCCTACCAAATAAAAATAAGACTATACTTCCCGACACCATGCTTTACCCTACGCATCGTAGGGGAGGTTATAAGGGCAGACTTGATTCAAATGTCTCACAAGACGGCCACTGAAATCATTATGTAAGCAGGCCTAATATTGTGCAGACCACAGTGGACCAACGTGCCCCACGGTTACCCTCAAACGTTTTAAATAATAAACCTGTAAGACGTAACTTTTCTCAACACTTTCCCATTGGGCAAGATGAACTACTAGGTTACTCACCATCAAACCAACCCCAACTAGCAGGTGTTTGTCTTAACTGTCCGCCTAGTCAAGTTCAACAAGTTAATCCACTTTATCAAAATAATGATTTTTTGCCTTCAGAAATCCCTGGTCCCACTAGCAATACAGTTTGTTCAAGCTATAGCCCATATGATCAGTCAAACGTAATAAACCGCAGTCTACGCAAATCCAAGATACACAACATCAATAGGGAAGCTCTCGGCTTTTTTACACTCCATACTCCATTTTTAAACTTATTACTTATCAATGCACGTTCACTTCTGAACAAAATTTTAGCCTTGAGAACATTAGCTTTTCTGGCCAAGCCTTCCTTTATACTTATCACTGAAACATGGTGCTCTCAAGCAGTATCAGATTCACAATTAAATATCCCGAACTATCGACTCTATCGCTGTGACAGAGAAAATAAGCGAGGAGGTGATTGCATTATATATGTTTTGGATACGATAACAACTAATAAAGTTGGAGATAGTGTCCTGAATAGTTTACCAGAATCAGTCAACAGCCTGAATCATAGTCTACTCCTTGAATGTATATACAGAGCTCCTGATAGTTCGAGTAGTGTGGATGATCTTGTAATCAATGCATTTATACATGCATCTGCTCTAGACTTTAACGCTAAGGCTATCACTGGGGGTTTCAATTATCCTGGGATTAACTGGAGTACCGGTAGTTGTCAGTCATGTAAAGATGAGTTCTCGGCAACCATTAATATGCACTGCTGGTCACAGTGGGTTCATACCCCAACTAGAGATGATAGTATACTCGATCTAATATTTAGTAGAGATGTTACCCCACTATCTGTAAAAGTATACGAAGAATTTGAAAGCAGTGACCATAAGATAGTAGTTTGCGCTCTCCCTATCTATCCCTCTTATAACCGACCCATTCAAAAAACCTGTCAATATAGAGACCATAAGCATGCTGACTGGGACCTCCCGCATTCACTGATTAAACTTTCAGACTGGGACAACTTTTTTTTTCATGTTATAGTCTCATGGATGCTATCAACGAATTCTATCTGATCGTTAACTCTTGTTTAGATTCCTGTGTACCTCTTAAAACGTACAGGTTTAGTAAACCTTACGAACTATATATACCAGCTAAATATCGTAATAAACTAAGACGCCTACAGAATCGTTATTTTAAGTCAAACGACTTAACGGCAGTTGCACAAATAACAATAATTTTTAATCAAATTAAAGAGAAACATAGGTTAAAAGCCATTAATGAGGAGATACTAACACTTAATACTAACTCAAAGGTACAAGACTTAACTCTCCTTTTCAATAAACGCACTAAAGCAACTCAAAATATTGATATACCATGCATCCAGCATAATGGCACTTTTATATATGATTCTAAAACTATAGCAAACCTTTTCAGTGGTATTTTTGCGAATTGTGTAGGAATCATAAGTGGCTCTGCTTCAAGAGTTATGTGCGTGACTAGCAACTCAATAAAATCTATCTCCTTCACATCCATGAAAATTAATAAGGCTATAAATACCCTTAAGCTTTCGAGAGGTCATGGAGCAGACGGAATTTCATCCTTTCTCTACAAATATGGTGGTCCAGATATTCCACTTCTTCTAAAGCTGTTTACTCTCTCTTTATGGAAACTGGTTCTTACCCTTACTGTTGGAAAACCGCGTACACCATACAACGTTACAAATCTGGAGATAAGACTGACATGAACAATTACCGGCCAATAAATATTACTCCAGTTATCTCTAGGATTATGGAAAAAATCATAAGTGATGAACTTTCCAACTATTTACTCGCTGGAAAATTTATCAGTGATACTCAACATGGATTTCTTAAAAGTTGATCTTGCATGACATGTCATTTTGATTTCTTTAATTTACTCTATTCTCTACGCAGTCAATGATATCTAGTCTTAGTGCTATATCTGGATATTTTTAAAGCCTTTGACATGGTTAGCCATCAACTTCTTATAGGTAAACTCGCATCTTATGGGGTTCAAAATCCTTTGTTAGATTGGTTTGATTCCTTTCTAAGCAATCGACATCAAATAGTTAGAATTAACTCTTCATTGTTTAACGTTGTCCCTGTTAGAAGTGGTGTAATACAAGGTAGTGTCTTAGGCCCTTTGCTCTTTTTAGTGTTTATCAATGATATTTGTGAAAGTTTTTGTGTGGGTAAGCCCCTTCTATATGCAGATGATCTTAAAATAGTATATTCATTTTCTCCATATGAGCTGAAAAATATGCAAAATTGCATCAGCATGGAGCTTAACAAGGTAGCACAGTGGTGTTTAAAATAGCAGCTGGAACTTAGTACGGCTAAATGTAGATGGATATGCTTCGGAGATACATCACTCAACCTAGACCTTACCATAAATGGAGAAGTGTTATCTAGGTTACATACAGTAGTAGACTTGGGACTTGGATACTCCCAAGACTTGTCGTTTACAGAACAGATATTGAAACAGACCTCTAAGTCTCAACGTCTAGTACGTTACATAACTCGAAACCTTTATAACATTGAGTTACGTATTTTAATGTACAAAGTTTATGTTCGACCATTCCTAGAATACTGAATGTTAATTCTTAATACTGCGCACATAAAGGATAAATTAAGGCTGGAATCAGTAAAGAGACGATTTACACCGTATTCTTGGAGCTGACTGTACCTTGACTAATAATTCTAGATGTAATAAACCTGGGCTAGACCCTTTGTGGAAGAGGAGACTCAAACTAAATCTTATCTTTTCAAAATACTTAATAAACTATCCCTTACATCCAATCACGTGATTCAATATGCAGAAACTTCTCATTATGGCATCCGTAATTCCTTGTTACTAGTGAAACAAACTTATTCCAAATCATTTCCCTATATGAATTTCTTTACCTGTAAATTTTCTAGACTCTGGAATAATCTACTACAATCTATCTGTACGATAAAATCACTCCCATTATTTAATCGGTGCATTGATGCATACTGCTCCTCTGAAAATGCATTGAATGTTCTAGCACCTGTAAATGTATCTCATTCCACAAGTGATATTATAGGAACTATAAATGTTTAGCCATCTTTATTAGTGCATTCCCTAAGTAAAACCACCCACTTGCTGTCAATATGTTAACACCGTCCCTAGCAAGTTTAACTAATTCGAATAACATAAACAGTATATCACTGTGTCACATGACACACGCATTTAGGTAGACCTGATTCATATATTTACGTAATTACTGCTTTGATTTCCTGTGCTCTGTGTTTTCGTTTTAATTTCTTTAGTTGTAGATAATTATCATTAATTCGATCTGGCACACGGATTGACCTTAATTACTCCGTTCATAAATCAACAGGCTGTCCATTTAAGATATATTAAAAATTCCCGGCTGATGCATCGGATCGCTTTAATACATGTACTACCTAAACAATTACTGAACTAGTATACTTAAAATTTTCTTCTACCACATGTTTGTTCTGTACATCATGCCTCTAAACTGGCGTGAATTGTGTAATTATTATTTTCAGAATATATAAATTATTGCTCTAATACGTGTGAAAAACGTACTACTTAAACAATTTTGAACTATAACACTACAAATAATCTAATATCTCATATGTCCTATGTATTTAATGTTACTATATATATCAAGCTGATCATGCCTGTTATTATATATAGTCGATGCACCTATTTAACATAAAATCAACGTCCTGAGTGAATGTCACTGAGTTTTTTACTTTAAGTTACAAACCATATTAAGGAAATATGTAACTCATAAGCGTTAAAATAATATGACTATTTTATCACGGCACTTTCTGTTTTTGACAATAGCGAAAAACAAGCTAGAACTTTCGGCAAGAGAACAGTTAGCTGAAAATTTCAAAAGTAAAACATACAAAATGTTAAATACTGGAAGAGTTTGCTAAGGTCTCATAACTTTTTGAATAATACTCAAGACAAAAAACTGCAACCTCAGTTGCTCAATATAAACCAGCGAAAGCAGACTATTTATATGATGCATTTGCCAAATACTTTCGATACTTGAAAAATTATGTCACGAAGCAATAACTGACTAACGGTGAGCCACGTTCACTATTATTCTCATATAAATGTTGATAGTTTCAAAATCAAATAATAAGACATTTCACGTTTCATACATTATTACCTCATTTTACACACAAAAACATGGACTTACATAATTTATCGTGAACTACAGTACCAGAGTCGCCTTGATATATGAATCCATTGGATTTTTTAGACTCAGATTCGGTAGAATGCTTTCTGTCAAATATAGACTGTCCGGGATCTATCTGTGGCCCACTATCCTCGGAATCTTTTCTTCGTGGCTCTTGTATTAGATCAGCATGTGAATCGCCTGAATGGATGGAGCTTTCGCCTAATTTGTTTTTTTCAAACTCATCGATTTCAGCAACTTCTTCCTCTTGGATAGTATGCGTTCCAGTTATTATACGTCTAACCTCTGTAGTTTTCTCTGATAAAAATTTATCCAACTGCTTAGTAGAATTCGAAAGTTTGGTAGTCGACATATCTTCGGAAATAACGGTGACGTTTGATGTTGTAAGCTTTGACTGACAAATCAAATTTATATTTACTTTTCTACTACTTACTTTCGGTGTAACATTAACAGATGTGAAAACATAATCCAATGTAGGTAAACTGGATTTAAGGATTGACAACTAATAATTTTGTCGCTTAATATTTAAAGTTTGATACTACTTACATTAACATGGCTATTAGTAGTTCTCCCGATACTAACTGAAGAACCGTTGAGTAGATTGTTAGATTCATCTTTCAGAGCATATACATGATAGAATAGTATCCAAGTTAATTTGAATGCCAAACAATAATTCACTATTAGGGAAAACAAAATATTACTTCATCGAACTTCTATTAATTTTATGGTACAAAAAGACGGGAATCAGTCAGAGACAAAAGCAAATAGATGGATATTAAGATTAAACTACTCTGAGTTTGATTCTCCCGTACTATACTATGTATAGTATAACAGACAAGTGGATTTTTAGAAGCACTTCAATAATACTTAGCGTCGAATAACTAACAAAGGTTGGTTAACAATAGCATAGGACTCATGAATAATGTTAATGTGACGTTTCCTACATACTTTTTTACGTATTCTGCATAATTTCATAACCTAGTAAGAAGGCTAATGATACCTCTTGACTTCTGAAACCACGGTATGTAGAATAGGGTTCGCCCCCCCCCCAGCTAACTAATTGAAAGCCAAGTATTGTAGTTGCTAAACCAACTAAATCCCTACATCCATTGCCCTCAGATAAGCATACATGGAACAAACTTCTTAAGTTAGGTGATGGAAGCTATTCAATATGCCTTAAGCAGGGAGCGAAGTAATTGAGCGTGTCAAGTACCTCACTTATTCTGGAAGTTTCATTAGCCCTGATGGGTTGATATCTGACAAAATTCCGGGAAAGATTCAGAAAGTCTAGTTGGTTTTCGTCAGCTAAAGGAGGAATACAACACGCAACAGTATTGTCTGTTTTACTTTGTGGTTGCGCAATATGTTCATCAGAAGTAGGGGGTATTTGTAAGTTACTAGTACTCTATTACAAACGCCTTCTAAGCGTTTCTCATGCATTCTGGGACCACTGAGTGGAGAATATTGAGTTGAGACACAAAGTAATTCCAGAAAATTTATTAGTGAGCTCGAGAATTTTTATCTTCTGTTTGGAACGTGTACTACGTACATTCAACCACTGCCTTCCTCGAAGTGCGGTGATAGTTGATGTATGAATAAGTTAGAAGAAAGACAGGGGCGCCAAAACTAGAATGTTGCACAACTCTATCTAGTCACTGACTGCTGAGCTGGGTTGTGTGGGTAGATGCAGACTACCTGGGAGATTGCTGTAATGAATGGTGAGACGGGTGAGATAGTTCAGTCTTTCCCGATATTACAGTTGCATCCGCTCTTTGTCTTTCCTCAGATATTAATTTTTTTAATTTCAAAAATTTTGTTCTTATTCCTAGAATCCATATTTTCTATTAAGAATCTTTTCTAATAACACTAATACTGTTACAACCTAAACTACTCTGGCGTCTCACTGTGATAATATGGTGTAGCTACGTGAACTAAAAAGCATGTGCCGGGTTCTACTTCTCGTATGATTGACTGACTGGATGAGACTAAACTGCAAACGTTGAAAGTGATAAGGGCAAGACTATAATTTATGAACGAACCAATCACGTATAAGATAACAGGTCTCGGGTTTTGGCGCGAAATCCACTCATTCATTCGGATAAATAGAGTTTTGGCATTATAACTAATATCAGTTCGTGACTAAAACCCTAAATCTAATTTCTAACCCTAATCATCAACTGTAAGTTATAATTCTACTTCCTCACACAGGTTTATAGCCCTTATTTGGTCCTGGTTATTAGGTGGACACTCTCAAGGTCAGCCTGGTGTCACACAAAGGTCGTCCACAAATTAGTCTCACCATAATAAGTTTTAACGGAGTGAAAAGTGTAAGAACAACTATGTCAAACATTTCATTGAGAATAACGCTCTGGTAAGGAACCGGTTAGTAACAGACAGCTTGTGAGTACTAACAGTGACGAACTAATGACAAAAGTCAGAATTACATTGGAAACAGGGACAAATAAAATAATAACACAAGTTTATATAAGACTTAAGTTAGTAGCACAGAGGGATATATACCACTGAAAAATATCGATCACAAGCGTCCGTCTATTGGAGATCAAGAAGTTTTTAGTATCAATCCCAAATACTTGTAATTTAGGATTCACATGTCACATTCAATTGACATTGCAAAATTATTAGCTGGTTCTGAAATCTATCAACAGCACTTCAAACAACTGATAGATTTATTACCATACTAACTTAGCAACTAGTTGACGCAAACTAACTGATTCTGTGCTTGTGTATTGGTATTAGGCGACTTTTCCAGACCACTGATGGCATAGTGTGGTTAGTTGAGCAACCCTTACTGCAATATACACAGAAAATTCAGAACGTATTAAAGACGGTATTCAGTGAGTCTGTATATTACAATCCGGTCTTCTTTCAACACCCTCTACGGAGGCTGCTTGTGTCACGTCAGTAGCGAAGGCTTTACATGCACCACATACACTAATGGGGAAATGTGGGGTTAGGGTTGTGTCCAATGCTGGTTGCTTCTTCCTTAACTGCAAGATCTCTTCTGATTGTACGTTTCTGTTTCCCCCATTATTATTATAATTACACTACCTTACACTAATCTGTTAGCTGTTGTTCTTTTTTTAACTCTCCTCACCTTTCATTTTTTGTTCCCTTCTTCTATTCGAATTCTCATTGTTTTGTGTGGCACATATATATTTGGTACCCTCTTGTACCAAGATTTATGTGTTCAAATAAATAAATAAATTAGAGTTGTATCCGATTCTCGCTGAGTGACCTTTCGTTACATGAACCATAGGTCACTGCGGTGACAATCACTTTTAAATAATTAGTTGAGATGGTTTGAACTACTCAGTATAATCAGAAACATGATGACACATCTTTTAGTGAGACACCACCTAGTTGCTATGAGCCATTGACCAGGTGGATCACTTCGAGTTTCCGACAGTATGGATGTTTTGTGCTAGCAGGAATTCTGGGAAACACACCGTCAAATCACCATGGGCAGCGTCTGTAAATATAAAAAATCCGTTGATTTTCATGAGCAAGGAAAAGCAGCCTGGGGTTTTAACGCGTCGAAGTGCAGATAGTTATTCCTCATTCATTCTGCTAACAGCACCCGAGCCCCTAGAAGCTCCCATGAGACACTTTTACGTCATTTTGCGTGACAAGGATTTTTGTGAATGTCAATGAGATTAAAGAGTCTCAAACAGATTGTTACAAAACCAAGACATAGGCGATCTCCAACTCATCAGAACAATTAAATTTACTGAGACTCAGGAATCAGAAATTTCGTCACTGACAGAACATGGGTTTCGTGGAACTCATTAGGGACATCTGAGAGCAATTGCAAAAATTACTTACGAAATACATCCACTCATAACTCCAGACGGTATATGGCAATATCATCTTGAAGGGAATGAGAAATAGCGTGTCATCAGGTGTGTTCTGGCTCTAACACGTCGTTGAGCTGTATCACGCTGACAAAACGCTTGTTTCACAAGACCTCTCAAATACTTGGTAAATAATTTCTATCACATGCGACACTTACTCGCAAAAGTAACGCAGGACTTATAGATCGCGCTTTGAAAGTTCAAATGGTTCAAATGGTTGTGGACGGAATAGAAGAAGCTTTCGCTTAACAGGCTTCCGTGTCTAGTAGCAGGGGATCACCAAATCCTCCGGGCAGGAACCTAGGTATGTTAACAATAAAAGAGGAAAAGAAATTGGTAAATCATAGTGTGATGCTGTCCTTGGTCCTTAAGAATAGGTCAAGTTGCCTCTTAAAGGACTCCTGAGAAGTCGCTTGGACTAGCTCGGCCGGCAGCGAGTTCCAGCTTTTGACAACTCTTAAGGAGTAGAAGTTGTGTCTACATTCCGTCTTGCTATGTTGTGTTTCCAGTTTCTGGGTGTTACTCCTTAGGTTATTATTCGAACTAAGCTTAAGTAGGTGTTTAAGAGGCTGTCCAGAAGTGTTAAGAATACTATAAGCCATTAATAAATCACCTCTAAGACGCCTATACTCTAATGGGTAAAGGTCTAGTGAATGGAGGCGTTCTTCGTAAGGCTTAGATTTGAGTCCTCGAACTGATTTCGTGGCTCGCCGTTGGATACGCTCCAAAGTGACCTTGTCCTTTTGGAGTGAGGGGGGAGTACTATGTTTCCGTACTCTAAATGGAGACGGATGAAACTATTGAAGATTGTGTGGAAAGTTCTTCCGTCAAACTGGCCAAAAATGCGCCTCAACGTTACCAGTGCAAGGTTTGCTCGGAAGGCATTTTTGTCACAGTTAGCGTAAGACTTTAAGTCATGGGGCACCAGGACTCCTAAATCTTTTTCGACTTGGGATACTACTAGAGAGGAGTTTCCTAAGTTGTAACTGTAGTTTGCGACATGTCGCAGATGGACTACTTTACACTTTGAAGTGTTAAAGGTAAGTCCGTTATCGTCTGCCCAACTTTGAAGTCGAGTCAGATCCTCTTGAAGTGCCTGTATATCGTCTTGGTTGCGTATCTCTCTCCAAAGTTTCACGTCGTCGGCAAAAAGTAATAAGTCTGACGTTACCTGTTGAGGAAGATCATTTATGTAGATCAAGAAGAGAAGAGGCCCTAGTACTGAGCCCTGAGGGACCCAAATAATGCAAATTATTTTGGACCGAGCTTAACGAGCTTCCATATCTAGCAGCACTGAATCACCAATAACTCCCCTCATAAACGTGTGAGCCTCCTCATCCTGTTTATCTGTATGAGCCTTGTGTGAATAGTCAGGTAACCTACCAACACAAAGTAGGTGTCATTACCAAGGTTTGATTTGATAATTTCGAATAAATTGAGCATTGGGTTGATTGTTATAAATAAAAATAATATATTTGTAATATCCCAATGAGTAGAAAATTGGATTTTCTGACGTTTCGTGGCTTAGTGTAAGTGACTTCTTCAGAGAATAAATAACCAAAATTAAATGAATCCAAGTTTAAATAGTACAACGAAACAATGTTCCGTTATTTATTCTCTGAAGAAGTGACTTACACTAAGCTACCAACACAAAGTTTTCCGAGTTTGTAGCTCATATATTTTCCACGTTCTTTATGGTCTATACAGTCTACAATTGGACCAGTTAGCTCCAACTTGCTTTTGTGTTTGATCCTGGCATCAAGTGGCCTGTCCGGATGCGTATGGACTCCAGTAAGCAGCCGGTGTCTGTTGACACGAAATGCTTCGACAGCGGCAGCCGCTACGCGAGACGCTGAGGGCGTAATCTTCATTGACCATCGTCTTCAGTCCTTTTCCTTTTTGGTTAGTCTCATCACTTGTTGAGTCAATATGTTTATAAGCTTTAAGGACCACTTTACAGTTTTTCACTACAGAATATCGTAGTCTGCATGATTAGGGTCCGTGTTTTCTGGGATACCTTGCACAGTAATGTTTCTTTCACAAAAAAAACACCCTCGGAATTTTACTAACGAGGTTCGGAGCAGAATATAGTGTATTATGAGATGGTGGAGAAGATTTGTAGCTCAGGTGGATGATTTTGGTGGAGTTTTGTTCTCTGAGCTGGATGGTTTGGTCGTGGAGCTTTCATCGTTCTTCTGAACGACATCATCAGCACAAACTTCAGATAGAAGTGAAGTGTTCGATTTTCTCCTTCTGTGTTTCACAGCTTGTTCTGTGCACCTCGATGTTGATTGGTTCTTGTTGACCTTAAATTTATCATTGTTTACTTCTTTGTTTTGGTTGTGTCTCCCATTGGTTTGATTTTTGTTCCTATATTTATGCATGATTTTCCTGATTGGTTGATAAATTGGATTGATTTCAATATGTTTGTTGATTGCTGATTGACCTGAGTGCCAAGCTTCTAAAAATTCTCTGGTGTTTTTGGAGTTTCCTCTGTCTAAGATTTCTAAATTTTCCCAATCGAATGAATGTCCGTAGTTATCCACGTGTATTGATATAAGTGAAGAGATATCATGGCGTTTGACTGCTAATTGATGTTCATGTAGGCGTAGGTGGAGGGGGCGTCCGCTTTGTCCGATGTAGTGTTTGTCGCAGTTGGTACAATTTATTTTGTAGATGATGTTTGATTTGTTTTCCTTTGTTATTTCATCTTTTGGTTTGCATAGGATTGATTGTAATGATTTTGTTGGTTTGTGTGCCACACCTATCCCGAAGGTTTTCAGCAGTCTCGTTGCGGTATTAATCAACATATTTACATCCCTTTCTGATTACAGTAAGCGACTGTCCAGCAGAACATTTACGTCAGGGGTGTTAGTTTACGCTACATAATGTGCTGTTATCCTTTCCCATGGATAAGCCAATTTAACCACCAGTGACTCGATTCTGGGATGTTTTAACTTCCTGTGTACCCTTCTCAAAGCATCAATTCGTTTGTATCCCGCAAGCTGAGAGGAAGGTCAGATCTATCTCTTAGGGCCGCGGTTACTGGAGAGTTATAGTTTCCCCAGACTTTTGGGTACGCTGAGGTTGCGACCCGTCTTGATGAGCAGTTGTATCGCAGTCCCGACTACCGTGATCCTTCTTAATTTGTCAGTTAATCTAAGGAGTGGACTGATCTCTAGTCAATGGGCGTGATCCTAATATATCTACCGGGACACTTGAGAACTTAGGTCGTCCCATAGCAGCGTTATGAATTTGTGAGTTATTACAGACCCCTATGTTAGTCCTTGTTCGGTCTCATGGCAAAGCAGCTAATAAACTAGATTCCACTGTATATCTGATTCTGGAGATTAACAAAACAGTACCCTTGACCTACCTCTTCCTGCTAAACATGGTTGGTGAAGCCTGTAGGATCTTTTGGAGAAGAAGTCACATGGAATCACGGCACAACTGCCATGTTGCATTGGTTGTCTCTACGAATTCTTCTATATTTTGTTTCATTTCCTATCCAGTGATTGCTGTCCATAGATGTGCCTCAACTGAGAATGATCATTCCTATTTTTAGTTGATAGATTTTTTGCATCCCTGATAAGGACGTTGGTGTGAACCGTTTAAAACACTTGCTTCTTGAGTATGTAGGTAACATTAGGATTTGGTTGATGTGTTTTTATTAGTTATAAATTGTGTATGTTGGGGTGGCAGGCTTTTACATTAATTTTAGCCTTACTACAGTATTATATGTCTTGTTTACGATAGATAAGAAAACACCGACAGTTGTCTGATGTATTTATAATTGAAATTATTGAGTGATGATCGTCTTTATGGTGTCAATCCTTTTATTTTACTGTTGCAAATATTCAGTTACAATTTTTTTCTTGGTAGATATGAGTAAGTTGTCATGTTCCTATTATTTCGGCGTGGTACTCATCATAAGCGTTGTTTATGCTCTTGATTCGTTCATCTATTCAGTTAGTTGGTAGTTTATCATTCAGTTCTTTTATATCTTGAAGGAGCAGTCTTGTAGAATTATGATTTCGTTCGGTATTAGTACTGTCAATTTAACTGACGTTATCATAAAGTCTTAGATTTGTAATGATATAACCGCTTAATCTATAAGATCTTACGTGAAAGTAACATCCTTGTCCACAATGACTCGTCCTACGTGGCGATCAGCAGGATGACGTCCAGCATTTATGAAAAGCACATTTGAGCTGGGAAGGGAGTAACATATTCAGTACGAAAAGCAAGAGGTTGTAGTGACCGCACCTCCATGACTGAACCATTGCATTTCGACTGATTCCTCCGGCGTTCACCATTGTTACCTACTCCTATTGTTACGTGCTGAAATGACTGCTATGGAGCCTCAGCCATTATAAGTGTTGACTGTAAGAGAATCAGGGAAGTTCAGTACTCTCTAGAGAGGAACGCAGCGGTTTGGTCTAATCGGATAAAATTTGCTTTGTTAAATTGTTTTCGGTGTAGAATCCAAACTACGGTTTGGACTGAAGAATAGCCGACCGGGGACTTTAGACACGCGCACTTGCCCGTCAAAATCAAAACAAGTATTCGGGTAAATAGTGGTTCTATAATTCATCATAAATTCAAATGTAAATCGTTACCTAAACAAATATTACCACCCGGCCATTCAACCAATAATTGTTCAATCAATCAAATCTAAATTACAATAAATAAAGAAGTTGATAGAAGATGGGGGAAAATTACCAGTCACAACAAATGAGCGTTATTCTATCCTGACTGGATAGAACACACACAAAAGGAGGAGCAAATCAATATGGCTGCCGCCAAGAACAAGTGTCAAGTAAAACAACACAGATGCAGTTCAGGAAGAAATACAAACTTAGTGAATGCGTAAGAAAAACTATAATAAAAATACAAGTATTAACAATTCAAATGTAATCAAAAGACAACAATGTACAACTAAGGGGATCAATAGTAACAAAGTACAAATATATACATGGAGGGACTTTCACCAACACACAAAACCTTCAAAATAGATCTTACATTCGGCATTCAAACTGCAATATTCAAGTTTATAGCACAATACATACAAATAGGTGTTGGACATTCAAGTTACACTTCTTTGACATAGGCCTTGTAAAAAAGACAATGTGATGTGAAAAAGAGAAAGAGAAAGAACGAAAACGTGCAATCAAACTATCCGATGGAACATAAAAAAATTAGTTGTATTCATTAATCTAAATAATTTAATTGTACAGTTCATGACTGTGGAGAGTAATGACAGCGGTGTCGAGTTGTATTGAGTCCATTTACTTCTATGCCACTCCTGTAGAAAATCGACAGCGTTATATTCAAACCATTATAGCCTAGGTTTTCTTTGTTTTTCAGTTAAGCGTTAAAAACTTGTCTTTTCCATAAATAAACTCAGAACACAGAATTAGACGGGGTATGGTTCTAATCAGAAAAATTGCGAGTAAGAATTACGCGGTATTACCCAGGCGAAAGGATCCCCTAGGCTATAAAGCCCATCAGATTGCTCGACAGAACTTGTACAGTCTACTCTAAAATACATCAGGTAGATAAATTACTGAACACCTTAAAGCTAGTCACCTGCCAAATTGTGAAGGTATCTCCTACAAATCGGTTAACAGCCGAATAATTAAGTTGTCAGAGTGCAGGTAGCTGAACGATTTGTACAAAATCTATGCAGTCAAGCTGTAGTAAACATCTAATAATCGAACCTACAAAGAATATAGTCTAAATGCTTGTCAGTAGGAGAAAAACCTCACAAAATCCAGAGACTTTATCCCAGATTTAAATGGTAGCTCAACTTAACTGATTTAAGGAGCAACAATGGGACCAGAAAGGAGCAGTATGAGAACCGCCAAGTTTAAAGATCAATTAAAACTAAGTCAACAGCATCGTCAAAATTACACAAACGATGTTGCATGTTAAGATTCGAAGACACTGTGGTTAAAGTAAATAATGACACTTTTCATCTAGAGCCTGACATAAAGAAAATGTAAAACTGAAGGTAACTAGAAGGAAAACATTACACCAAAAAGTCGAACATATGACTGTTGTTACATAGACATGTATGTGGAGGGATTTCACCTATATACATGTGTATCCACACTAAAGCTTACGAAAAGAATCTTGCAAACGGTTTTGTGAATAATATACAGTTCCATCAGAAGATAGTAATCGTTTAGTAATGTTCAAAGTGCTATTAAAACAGCTCTAAATATGAAACATACAAATATCTCAATACTGTCAAGTACATAGCCATCCAAATGTTTCGGGGGACTCGTAACAGAAATGTATTTCCTTAGTTACCAAAACCTCAGGTGATTAGAGGGACATAATACAATAACAGTTATAACTAGAGGACCATTAATATAAATAGAGAAACATTATTAATTAGGTCTGGACTAAAAAATAGTACATTAGGGGTACTACGTTTGCGTGTATGGTGAAACAAAGAGTATCATTATATGGAAGTTGTAGAGGTAAATGAATCTTTGAGATATATAGTTTTGGTTCTGACCAATGTTAGTTGTATTGAGTACATGATTATTCAAAGGTCTGTTGAGCATAAGTATACTATGTGACGCAACTCGTCTAGTAAGTGGCCAAGTAAGATATTATACATAAAGATACTTTTGCGAACAATGCAAGAACATCTTGTATTTTATTAATCTTGGCTTTTGGTGGCTTTGCAATCATTTCATCAGAAGAGATTCAGATAGTAGAATTATCATATACCGAGTTTCAGAGACCTGCTCAAAAATGCTCCAGGGGCTTTTAAACACACAAGCGATGGACCAAATTGCGACACCATAGACAATTGTCTCTTGGAATCTAACGGTTTTAATTTATGTCTTGGAATCAGACAAATTTTATCAAGCTAAATACCTTACTTGTTCTGAAATCGGCTATACCGAGACTCTCTGTTCAACAGTCTGAAGAATAATTCAGAACATCCTCTGGAAATTACTTCCTGCAACCGGTATCAGATAAGGCTGCTCATTTTATTTATTTTTTTCTTTATCTTGTGGTCAAATGGATTATGGGCAACTCTAAATTTCAGGAGAGGCGCAGAATACAATGGACAGCTAGGATGATTTTAACTTCTCAGGAGACCTAACACTTCTGTCCCATCCGCGGCAATAAATTCAGGTGACGACGGCAATATGCCCCAACATATGAAAGAGAAAAAGCAAGATCCTCAAATGCAACACGACGAGCACAAACTGGATCACATTTGATGTAGAGGCTTCGAAAGAGGTGGAGTCTTTCACGTACGTGGGCCGTAACTTTGATAAGCAAGGGGGATCTGATGCGCATTTGAAGTCATAGAGTGACAAAGCAAAGATAGTATTTCGACAATTGTAGAACATATGGAACATAAGACATCTGTCGAATCTTTACTACGATATTGATGACTTGACCCAGTCAGAGTTAGCTACCAGTGTATTGGAAGGATTCAACTGTTAGTCGGATGCGGACTTAAGACAAATTTCACCAAACTACAAAGCCGTCAGACTCATCTCTAGTTAATACAACAAAAGAAGGAATATGAAGTGCCAATGTGACCTAAGTGCAACGCAATAACTTGTTAAATAATGAACCACAATACAAAGCAAGAAGCTAGCCTCTTTATAGCAGCAAACATGGATGTAGTTATCTGATATCGGAAAACAAGTTGATGTTGTCCATGTTTGCTTCAGTCAAACAAGCAATAACATGCCTCGTAGCAGACTGTTTTGGGAGTTTAAAAATGCAAGAAAAGCAGGGCCTCTATCAGAAACTGTCTGTTAGGTCGTTAGCAAAAAGTAGAAATGAATTCCAAGTGTTAGATGGTGGTTGGAGGTAGTAGACAGGAAACCCTGGACCCGGGTTTCGTGCTACTTAGCACTCGTCAGCAAGGTGTACCTGTAATCTTAAGGGAATTGGTGCTCTCTGGCGGATTCGATCCCGTGTCACCCAGTTTCACAGTCAGAGACGTTACCACTGGGCTATCCGGGCCGTGACCGCCCTCTTGTAAAACTGAGATGTAATCACAATTGATTGATCACTGAGTGGTGATCAATGTCATGTGTGTCCAGTGCAGATTGAATTCAATCGACCATGAATTCTAAGTGTTCCTCGGGGAAATCTTCCGTTAGTGGAGTACCAAATGGTTTCGACATAGATTCTTTAGTTTTTCATTTTATCCTAATTCATTTCCACACATCTTTATGTCCTCAATGCTACTTTAAACAGATGACATCAAGATTGCGAAAGAGGTTGCGAATAGACGTGCAGTGGCGGCCAACTTAGACGGCATGCCTACTTTATTCAAATAGCGATTAACGCCCATCAGTACAGCGAAGGATATCCGCATGAACGCTGAAGATATTAATGGAATTAACCACAGTATAGAGGAAGAGTTTGTGTTTCCAATCCTGTCTGGCGGGAAACTAAGGGCAAGAAGCAGTCGCAACCTCGAAACTTGGGCTCATTGAGGTATAGTTGTATCCGAGAGACTCGAAATCCTATGTTCACCACAGTATATATAACTTTAGTGAGACCGAAGCTTGAAAATCATATTCAGTCTACAAGGCCCTGTTTAGAATGTGGCTCGAATATCTTGTCGAAGTACAGAGGATAGCTGGTCGTTCAATCCCAGAATTCTGTGGCTTAGAGTACACAGTATGGCTTGGAGAATTAGACCTCATTAGTCATTCCTAACGCAAGTTAGGTTGGCGGGTTACGATAGAAAGGATACTGTAGCAGTAAATAAATTCCAAGGAATAGTTCTAAGTCATCGAAAGTGATGCTGACCTCACTAGTTTTATCAGAAACGCCCTTAAGTGAAGGTAATCAGTTAAACAGCACTAGATTACGTTTTGGTACGCCGTGCTGTGGATCACTCACAACAACCAGTCAGCTTAAACCACATATTTCTGGACATACCGACTACATTCCAAATATATCTTCAAAAACCATCATTCCTGACTTCCGATTTGACTGGTTTTGAGAAAGGCTTTGAGGACAATAGAGTTGTCATGCACCAAATATCTATGACATATTTGACTCGAAGAAATGACTCGGACCCTATAAATCATCCCTCCTACGTTCTGCTAGATCATGAGAACTCACCGAATACAACATGCTAGTTGTCTGTTGTCAGAAACCAGTAATAAATATGAATGTTGTAAATATGTAGACTAAGTATGGTTGTAGTAAAACAACAAAGAGTGAGCACAAAGGAGTCAATCGGTTTCTACAAGTTCGTAGCAAAGGTATTGAGGACTCATATGCTGGAGAAAACGGCACTTGAGGTATTGAGCAGCTATTGTGGGGAATTCCATTAGTGCGCTTCGCATCGCGTGGTTGACTTGAGCTATTGCGCGTAGCTGACAGCCAGCGTCAACTTTCTGTGGACAGATGGCCTCCAGCTCTGAGTCAGACATTAGCGCAAGGCGAGTTCTTGTTGCGTATTAAATACCATAATAAGGTTTTTTGTTGGGGCTATTAATATATATATATAAGCATTCTGGAAATCTTACCTGCTTAACCAGTCGGGTTTGTTTCATGTATCATAACAACTAACTTCAAACTGAAGACTTACTAACTCTCTGCCCGGGCGTTTCCAGCTTATTTTTCTTTTCATAAGTTGCACATGTTTCCTTTGTTGGATGGGTATTCAAACACATAACCATGTTCAGGTCTTTTAGTCGTTCGGAATTTTTATATCCCTTACTACTCGACTGAACTCTAAATTGCTTCAGGGTTTTTAATGTGAGTCTGAAAATGATTCATAAATATATTACGCTTGAATTTATGGAAAATCAGTAGATCAATTCAAATTTCTGCGGGTCATGTGTAGAAAACGTTGAATTAGTGGTTTGACTTACCTATCATACCTGTGTGTAAAAAAATAACTTCATTCTCAGTTGAAAGCAAGGAGTCATACTTGACTTTTTCGGAATCTTTTGAGGGATAGGCTGCTTTTATCCGTACAGCCCACACAACTGTACGTAAATTATAAACGGAGTATTTCCAAGGTTTACACTTATTTTTTATTGCGGTAACTATTCCTTACTGAGTTTTTATTTCGATCTTTCGTCTGTAAAAACAGACTACTAGTGTAAAGAAAATCCAAACCCCATTTCGATTTGAATTGAAATTTTTTCGCCTTCTAATGAGTTCACTAGATTTTCATTATCCATGTATCTAGAATCTAATATTATTACTGGACCAACTTTAGATGCACTTATTCACCTATCCTCCTTAAACGACAGTCGAGAACCTCACTTCTCGTCAAGTAACCTACCTTATGTTCTTTACCTATATGCTATGAAAATACCAATAAGGTGCTTATATTGTTATTTTGGCTAAGTCTAGTGTTGTCCAACCAGTTGAACTAGTTCAGGAAGGAATGATAGATTACATGGTTGAATTGATGGTTACCGAAATGTCTTGGATGCGTTAAAAGTACTATTTACTTATCTAACTACTTTTATCCTTTACAGCTGCTGTGATCAAGAAGTTACACACACAGATACACCGAAGATTAACAAGGGTCCAAAGGTAGAAGATTTTAATTGTTTTTTATCTTAGAAATCCTTTTACTTTAATGCTGTCAGCTAACAGTTTTGAAAGCTTGGTGTTGGACATTCTTCTGTTCTCTAATCTCGGGTTGTGAAATGAAGACAATAATGCTATGTAATAATGATGCGCATATTTCTGTCCAAATTAGATTAGCATTTTAAAATTGAACTTAAGCATAAAAGTTTGAGGAAAATATTTGTTTAGTTTTCGTATTTAGTCAACCCAGGATCAAACGAGGGTTTCATACTGGTTAGTACTCGTCAACAGAATGCACCTTCTCGTTGGGACTCACCGGCTTTTTTTGACGATAACATCGAAAATATCACTAACTTATTTCGTCCTGGGAATGATCCATCATAGAACCATGTACGTAATTCAATCTACGTGTGACAGCAACTGTTGTGATCAAAGACCAATGTGTTCACTGTGTTAGGTAATACAGTTCTGGACAACTGTACATGGTTTAGTTGTTGTAGTTACTTCTCAGCCACTAAATTAGAGCCCCCAAATGCCCTGGTATGGCTGAGAATGGGGTGGGATCACCTCCCTCTCGAAATGCTCTCACACGACTACGCGTATACAGCCTATGCCAGGGAAATCCAACTCACTGTCTTCTCGTGGCTCGGGTGTTGTTTACGAAAATAAGAGGACGAGAAGCGAATGTCGGGCGCTTCAACCGGATCCCAAACTAATGGTGCATATGAGCTCCAGTATCCTGCGGGAACAAATGATGTATGAACCAATCGTTGGTCACCGGCTACCATGGGACTGCGTTTCCTTACGATGCTTCATTGCATTGTGGATCAGACTTTCAGGTCGAGGGCTCGGGGTGTGGCCTCCTAAGTAAACCATCTGCTTCGGTCTGGGCACTTGGGCAGTATCACAGCCCACACACAAATATAATGAAAATAATGGAAATAATGATATTTACTGAAAACTCTATTCTGGCTTCGATTTACAGTCAAACAATTCACATTATTTATTATTATTATTATTACTATTACTATTACTACTACTACTACTACTACTATTATTATTATTATTATTATTATTATTATTATTAATTACTACGTTATTTATTCGCTCTCTTTTATTCCCACTTTGTGTATCCTTATTTTTCGACTTATACAGCAGCTCGCCTATGGTGAAAACTCGGTTCTATCTAAACGTTCTCGAGTCACTGCCTGGCTGAAAATTGTATGCTACCACCAAATACGAATACCGAAGCAGTTTTTCTGAAACCACGTGCACCATTCCAACTGGCCTTCTTCAACGTTCACGCACTTATGCAGGTCAGACAACAGATAGGGTTGGTTATGTCTTTAGGAGGTCTTAATCTCGATGTCTGTTGTCTATCCGGGATCCGTATTCAAAACTAGTGGAGTACTACAAATTAGATCTTCATCTGTCACTTCAAAAGACTTGTTTTACGTGCGCTTATCCGAGGACCCTGTGGCATCTTTGTCTGGTTTTCCTGGCGTTGGTGTCGCACTAAGTGCTAGAGCTGAGGCAACACTAATCGACTGGACCCCCACTAACGCGTATATAGCCTCTGCCAGGGAAGTCCAACTCACTGCCTTCTCGTGACCGGGGTGTTGTTTATGAAAATAAGAGGACGAAAAGCGAATGTCGGGCGCTTCAACCGGATCCCAAACCAATGGTGCATATGAGCTCCAGCATCCTGCGGGAACAAATGGCGTATGAACCAATCGTTGGTCACCGGCTTCCACGGGACTGCATCTCTTTACGATGCTTCACTGCCTTGTGGATCAGACCTTCATGTCGAAGGCTCGGGGAGTGGCCCTCTAAGAAAACCACCTGCTTTGGTTTGGGCACCCGGGCAGTATCACATTGCGATTAGCTACCGCTGGTGTGGTTGTGTACAAGACTGCCGCTCCTTTTGGAGTACCTATCTGGACTCTGATCATGCCCTGGTCTGCGCCAATCTTACCTTACTTTTCAGTGGCCAACGAGGTGATCTTCACCAAAGGATTGATGCCAGCAAGTTGGTTGCAACTTCTGTTGTAACTAAGTATCGAATCGAGCTAGCTTCTAGGCTAGCTACCATTCCACCGAAAAGTATAGATGAGCATTGGTTGCAACTGTATGACGCTATGAAAATGGCGGGTAAAGCTGCTTGCGGCTTCGTGAAACGTCCCGCTTATAAGCACTGGGTTTCTTCAGGCTCCTTACAACTCATCGAAGCTCGTCGGTCTACTCCGGGTGACCGTGAGTTTGACCACAAACGAAAGATATTACGTAATGAAATCGGGCAAAGCTTGCGTAAGGACCGAGAAGCCTGGTGGTCGGAGCGTGCTAATGAGCTGGAAGCAGCAGCTGCATCTGGTAAATACCGGAAGCTCTTTCAACTCATCCGAGTCACTGGCAGTAAGAAGTCTGATGTGAGTGAAACAATCTGTGAGGATGACGGGATGCCAGTCACTAACATCCCTTGACGTCTTGGGCGATGGGCAGAATTCTTCGAAGAGTAGTTCAACTGGCCTGTTGCTCCGGCAACATCGGTCAGACTGTCCTGACCTCCAAGCCCGCCGACGGCTGATCCACCAAATGAGGTGGAAGTCCGCAAGGAACTCCAACTCTTGAAGCGTAACAAATCACCTGGCCCAGATGATTGACCTCCGGCTCTTTTTAAACATGTTGGTGACTTTCTGGCTAAGGAACTGACAACGTTGTCTACAAAGGTCTAGAAACTAGAGAGTGTACCAACGTCATGGAATGAGTCGATAGTTGTCCCTATCTTTAAAAAGGGTTCACGTCGTTCCTGTAACAACTATCGGGGGATAAGTCTACTTCCGATTGCGTCCAAGCTATTGGCTTCCGTCATACTTCGTAGGTTGTTCAAAACCCGAGAAAGATTGGTTCGCAAGGAGCAGGCTGGTTTTCGTCCTGGTCGAGGATGTATTGATCATATCTTCACCCTCCGCCAAATGTTAGGACACCGTCATACTTATCAGAGGCCAACAATCGTAGTGTTTCTTGACATCAGGGCTGCCTTCGATTCGTTGGACAGGACTGTTCTCTCTGATTGTCTATTGAAGAAGGGTGTGCCTGAGAAGTTTATTAATATCCTAAAGGCCCTATATACAAACACCTCAGGCAAAGTGAGGGCATACGACCACCTCTCTCCATTGTTCCATTCAAGTATTGGAGTTGGACAGGGTTTCCCAATCTCACCATTCCTCTTGAACTTTGCCATCGATGACATTCTGGAAACAGCTTTGATGGATGTAGGTAATGGTAGTGTGGATGTGTTGTCTGGAGAAGGACTTTTCCACTTTGAGTGTGCGGATGATATTGTCTTACTGTGCAATGATACTCGAGACATACAACCCTCACTAAGTCGGTTGGCAATTAGTGTTCGTAGGCATGGTATATGATTTGCACCTTCGAAGTGCAAAGTACTTTTACAAGACTGACAGGACCCTGAACCTGCACTCAACCTGGGTAGTAAGCAGATAAAAGTAGTCGAGAAGTCCGTGTATCTAGGTAGCTGTATAAGTGGTGGTGGTGGCGTGAGTGATGAGATCAATGCACGTGTAGTGAAAGCCAGAGCGGCTTATGCCAATCTGGGCCACCTTTGGCGCCTTCGTGATGTTAGTTTGGCTGTAAGAGGTCGGATCTACAACGCGTCGGTGAGAGCAGCTTTGCTCTATGCTTGTGAAACCTGGCTTCTCCGAGTTGAGGATGTTAGACGACTCTCTGTGTTCGATCATCGCTGTTTCCGAAGGATTGCTGACAGCCAGTGCAACACCATGTCAGTAATGCAGAGGTTCGGCATCGTGTTCGGGCACAGAGATGATAATGCAATCGATGTCACCATCTTGAAACACCGACTTCGGTGGCTTGGACATCTACGAATGTCATCCCAGAGAATTCCACGTCGTGCATTATTTGCCAACGCCAGGACTGGTTGGAAAATGCGGAGAGGTGGTCAGTGTATGACATGGTGTCGTGGTGTGAAAGAAAGCTGCAAAGGACTGGCTTCTGTCGATCCTTCACGACTCCCTGGTTGGGGTCCGAGAGATGGTGCTACACAGTGGCTAGAGACGTTATCAGATATGGCTCAGAATAGAAGCCAGTGGCGATCATGTTGTAGGCTTCTTTTACTTTCTTCATAAAAAGTGGTTGTATTTTCCTTAACTGAAAGAATTCTTCTGATTGTATTTTTCCGTTCCCTCATTATTACTATTATTATTATTGTTACACTACCTTACACTAATCTGTTCGTTATTGTTCTTTTTTTCTCTGTTCGAATTCTCATTGTTTTGTGTGGCGCATATATATTTGGTGCCCTCTTGTATCAATATTTATGTGTTCAAATAAATAAATTAGAGAATAAGGAAATGAACTTTTAACTCTTGATTAAGCGTTAAAGTATAATTGCTTTAACTTTTGAGTCATAGCCATGCCATGCGGATGCGGTTTTTCCACGTATCGGCTTACATTTTCACAATCCGTATTGTTAAGAAGGGCTTTTATACATGACATGAACCTCATGGCTCCATTAAATTAATGGGCGGTACAATAAGATTCATATCATAGGAGGTTAACAAAATCACTCCCATCCGCTCCTTTTCTTCACACAAGGTTACATCACAATCTCTAACTTCTACCCATTCACCAATATTTTTTAAGCTTCCAATCCCCTTTGTTTCACTAGTTCGTTATCTCGCTGCATGCTTCAGCTTAAATACCATATCTCTCACCATATTATTATTATCACCATAAAACTAGGTGTCTTTTATATGTAATACGTTTCTTCATTACCACCTGATTAGTTTTCTAAAAACTCTACAGTTTCCAAAAACGTCTCAACTATTGACTTATCACATGTAGATGTTTGTTATATAGATGAAGGCCACTCATTGTATCATATGCGTTACTTTTGTAGACCATTAATAACGCCAATATACACGTTTAGTTCTATTCGAAACTCGTAAAGGAAACACGTCGAATTATCTGCCGAACCTTTGTCAAAACTGAATCGACCACTTATTTTTTAATAACAGTGCTATTTGTCAGGCACCGTAAAACCCCTTATTTATTTGACAAATATTTAGTGTAACATTGCTCGTTGCTTTTAGTTATTGTTTTTAATGGCGTAATTAATCTTTGGTAGTTTGTAAGTTGGTTGTATGTAAAACATATTCCAGGTCGCTTCTGTTTCTTCTGCTTGGGGATTGCCGGAACCAGTTCTTCGCGTAGGAAATCGTACTATCTTTACGCATGGACGTCCACCTTGGTATAATGCTGAAGGACAAACTCAACAGCCTTTTGTAATCGGCATATGTGGAGGTAGTGCAAGCGGTAAAACATCTGTTGCCCGCGTAATTATTGAAAGTTTGGATGTACAGTGGGTCAGTTTAATAAGTTTGGACTCATACTACAAGGTTAGTCTAATCCTCAATTCTACATAATTCCAGTAATTAGTTAGGTTAACTTATTTAACAGGAAGTTCCTAATGAGCCATATTCTAATTGTAATGGCTGGTGATATCACTAGGTTGCCCAAACCAAAGTGATTATGGTGGGGTTCGAACCTGGGACCTTGTGCCCAGAGGTCGAACGCTTTTACCACTACGCTGCCCAAACTCATTAGATTTCTGTTTACCATAGGGATCAGAAGTTAGAATATAATTTTATTAATTGAAAATGTTTGTAGTGGGTAAACTTTTACATATTAGTGTAACAAACTAATAAAATTCAGAAAATAATGAGCAAGTTTTTAGGTTGAAAGTTTGTCTTTCACAAATCAGCAAGTTATGTTATTCTGAGGATTACATCCCAGAAATTTTGGATTGTCCAGGCTTATCGGCCCGATAAGCAAGGACTGTTTGGGTATGTTGAATTGTGTTATAGCGTTGTCCCACTCTGGTTGTTGCGGAGGCTAATTAGGTAAATTGAAGTCATCTTTCATATTAAGTTACTTGTTCCAGTCAATAAAAGCTAATCATTATCTCTGATACTATATTTAAACTCGTTTTCGTTGAGTTGACGTGCAATAAAATCATATTCGACTATTTCTTTGAAAACGGGAAACAGTAATCATTGTTTTTTTATAATTTTGATAATAGCACAAAGTGGTCGATTAATAACTGTTCATGAGGTCGAATTGCTATTGTACCATACTAACAGTCAAAAAGGGTTAGTTGACTATCAGATTTAATCTTTTATAGGGACATCAATAATATATGAATGTCAACCTCTCGGAATATGTTTTTATTCCCTTGATTTCCTGTAGTTTACTAATGTAACTCATTTGCTATGTATAGATTCGTGTAGTCGGCTTTTTAGTTGTGGTTTGTAAGGTTTAGTAACACTAGTGATTAGCCCTCACTGAAGTAGACGAACCTAGGTTTTATCCCACAACCTAGTGGTTGAAAGTCAAGTACTTTAACCACCAAGTTACTGTCTCAGTTTGATTTGCTTTCATATAAAATTTTACATAATATCTATCATTTTGCTTGGTGACGTACAGGTATTTGTGTGTAGAAATGAAGTACTTTTGTTTGATGAATATTTTTCCCCATTATTTGTTCTTTTTATTTTCTCTTTTCCCATGCTAATATATTCTAGGTTCTTACACCAGAGCAAAGACTTCAAGCTATTGCTTGTCATTACAATTTCGATCATCCAAGCGCTTTTGATCTTGATTTATTGGAAAATCATTTACGCAGGTTACGCGACGGTAAAACTATTGAAGTACCTGAATATGATTTTAAAACCCATTCTCGTACTTCTAAAACGGTAAATTGAATTGATGATATTTTCAAGTACAAATGTAATATTTATTTTACCTACAAGTATTTTCCTGTAGTACAGCTAACCCAAAGTGTGCGAATCTATCATTGAAAGAGGTAAAACGTTACATTTAATACCTGTTATTGGTAAAGAACAGGAAATAAGCAAATGCACATTAGAAAGGAAATTAAAACATACCGAACAGATATATTTAATGAATAAACTGTATATAATAGTTATATTCATAGAAATGTTGCTTGTTGACCGGTATTTGAGTAATAACAAGTCTCGCCAAGTTTAGGCTAATTTAGTGTAGCGGAAATTTCGGGATGTGCAATTTGACTAGTTAATTTAATTAGTTACGGATATAACTAAAAATGAATGACGTCATTGATTATGTAGCGTTATTTTACACATGTGCCTCTACAACCAATAAAATTATTGTCGAATGAATGAATTATTCAGAGACAATGAACATGTTTTTGTCTATTGTCATTATTCTAATTGTTTGAAAACTTTTTACCTACCTAAGTACTTCAGACAGGAATGTATTAAAAATGTGAAGCGATTTTTAGACACGGTTAGAGTTTACTGTTTTCTTAGAGAAATGGATACTGTAAGTATATCCGTGTATTTTAGAATCACCTATTTAAAAGTATTTTACATCACGTTTCTGCTAATCGCGTATTGAAATGTTTGAATTTACGTAAACAAAACTTGCAATACTGATATGCTCATGTCTTCAGCTTTTTTCAATCAGAAGATCTAGTTTGTTGATGATTCAAGGTAAATGTATACAATTGATATGTATGTGTACAAAAATCGATGACAAATTGATAGCTATACACTGGAAGATCGATTGTGAATTAATTTATAGAGTCAGGAACACTATTTTTGTAACTAATTGTTTTATCTTAATAATATCTTGGTATCGAGTTTTGTTATGACTACGAGAAAACTGCTACTTGCTATTGTATACCTAAAAAAGGACAGATAGCTCTCTGTAAAAAGAAAGGCAAGACCACGCATGATGATTTATTTACACATCAACCACAAATCCTCTACAGATCCAACCACTTATTCCAAAATCTTCACCAAAATTACAACATTATATATGATCTATTTAACTGGTGAACAACCAAGTCTGAATGCATCGAACTGGAAACATGTGGTATTAATTAACCAACAATTTAATGCATATATAAGATTTACAGTATCAACAGAATAACCCTTAATTAACAAAGATAAATTACCGAGTTACAGTTTTTTTCTTCCTGAAGTCCTACTCACTGCTTTCTCTCAGCGGTGTTGTTTACGAAAATGAGGGGATGAAAATTGAATGTCCAGCGCTTTAACCGGATTGGTGGATACGGAGGATCCACGTAGGGAAGTTGGAAAACCTTGGTTCAAAAGCAATGGTACGCATGGGTTCCGGAATCCTGAGGAGATAAATGGCATATGAATCTATTGTTAACCACCAGCTACCATGAGACTGCATCTCCTTACGTTGCTCCGCTGCTTTGTGGATTAAACTTTAGGGTTTGGCCCCCTAAGAAAACCACCTGTTTCGATCTGGGCACCTAAGCAGTATTCCAGCCCACACACAAATTAAATGATAATTACTACTGGAAAAATTACTTTTGTCTTAACTCTCATTCGGACAAATCATATTCACAATCATTTAATTACATTCGTTTTCATTTTTATACTACGTCGCTTATCTACTCCCTTTATTATCATTTAGTGTATTCTTATTTTTCAACTTATACAACAGCTGGGTTATGGTAAAAACCCTGTCCTATCTAAACGATCTTGAGCCATTGACTAGTCGAATGTTACCACCCACTACAGATACTGGACCAGTTTTTCTGAAACCACGTGCACCATTCCAACTGGCCTTCTTCAACGTTCACGCACTTATGCAGGTCAGACAACAGATAGGGTTGGTTATGTCTTTAGGAGGTCTTAATCTCGATGTCTGTTGTCTATCCGGGATCCGTATTCAAAACTAGTGGAGTACTACAAATTAGATCCTCATCTGTCACTTCAAAAGACTTGTTTTACGTGCGCTTATCCGAGGACCCTGTGGCATCTTTGTCTGGTTTTCCTGGCGTTGGTGTCGCACTAAGTGCTAGAGCTGAGGCAACACTAATCGACTGGACCCCCACTAACGCGTATATAGCCTCTGCCAGGGAAGTCCAACTCACTGCCTTCTCGTGACCGGGGTGTTGTTTATGAAAATAAGAGGACGAAAAGTGAATGTCGGGCGCTTCAACCGGATCCCAAACCAATGGTGCATATGAGCTCCAGCATCCTGCGGGAACAAATGGCGTATGAACCAATCGTTGGTCACCGGCTTCCACGGGACTGCATCTCTTTACGATGCTTCACTGCCTTGTGGATCAGACCTTCATGTCGAAGGCTCGGGGAGTGGCCCTCTAAGAAAACCACCTGCTTTGGTTTGGGCACCCGGGCAGTATCACAACCCTCACACATATCGAATAAGATTTGTGTAGCGCATATGTATTTGGTGCCTCCTTGTACCAATATCTATGTGTCAAAATAAAAAAATCACTAACAGTTGGTTATATGCTGTTAGATTAGAAAGTTCCATGAAAGTGAGAAGAAATCGGTGTGAGAAACGATGTCTTTTCGTCATCTCCGCCTATGTCCCGACAGATTGCAGCCCGAATGCAATCAAGGATGAATTTTACCACCAGTTAACTGTTCTTCTCCAGAAGGTGCGTTCGACAGATATTGTATTACTAGCCGGAGACTTGAATGCTCAGGTCGGGCATCTAGGCACAAAAGAGAGTCGTTTAGGTGGCCGATGGGGACTCGTTGGTCGCAGGACAGATAACGGAGACCGTCTACTGAAACTGTGCACAGACAACAACTTGTTTCTGGCTAGCACTAACTTTCAGCACAGTCATCGCCGATGTGCCACCTGGCGTCCCCCCTCTTCATCTCAAGACTGGATTCAGATTGATCACATTGCGATTAGCTACCGCTGGTGTGGTTGTGTACAAGACTGCCGCTCCTTTTGGAGTACCTATCTGGACTCTGATCATGCCCTGGTCTGCGCCAATCTTACCTTACTTTTCAGTGGCCAACGAGGTGATCTTCACCAAAGGATTGATGCCAGCAAGTTGGTTGCAACTTCTGTTGTAACTAAGTATCGAATCGAGCTAGCTTCTAGGCTAGCTACCATTCCACCGAAAAGTATAGATGAGCATTGGTTGCAACTGTATGACGCTATGAAAATGGCGGGTAAAGCTGCTTGCGGCTTCGTGAAACGTCCCGCTTATAAGCACTGGGTTTCTTCAGGCTCCTTACAACTCATCGAAGCTCGTCGGTCTACTCCGGGTGACCGTGAGTTTGACCACAAACGAAAGATATTACGTAATGAAATCGGGCAAAGCTTGCGTAAGGACCGAGAAGCCTGGTGGTCGGAGCGTGCTAATGAGCTGGAAGCAGCAGCTGCATCTGGTAAATACCGGAAGCTCTTTCAACTCATCCGAGTCACTGGCAGTAAGAAGTCTGATGTGAGTGAAACAATCTGTGAGGATGACGGGATGCCAGTCAATAACATCTACCTAGGTCTTGGAATATGAGCAACGTGTGTTCGGCCACAGCGACGATAGTTCAGTTAGTGTCGCTATCTTGAAACATCGACTTTGGTGGCTTAAAGATGTCTTACGAATGTCGTTTGAAAGAATTCCACGTCGTGCATTATTTGCCGATGCTGGGAAGGGTTGGAAAAAGTGGAGATTTGGTCAGTGTATGACATGGTATCGTAGTATGAAAGAAAGCTGTACAGGACGGACCAAGACCTCTGATTGGGGTCCCAAAGATGGTGCAACACAGTGATTAGGGACGTGGCTTAGAATCGAAGCCAGTGGCTATTCAACCATAATTTTTTTCTACTTTCTTCATAAAAATGAACGTAACTTCTTTAACTGAAATAATTCTTTGTGGCTATATTTCTGCTAACTGAACTATTTCTCCTATTATTATTATTGTTGTTATTATTTCACTCTCATACATTAATTTCTATTCTTTGTTCTCTTTTATTATAAACACTTTACATTCTCTCTCTTTTCATCCTCGTTGTTGTTGTGTGGCGCATACGTATTTGATACCCCCTTGTATCGATGTTTATGCATTCAAATAATCATAATAATTCTTATTCCTGATACTGATGTTTATCGCTCTCACAAACTGAAGAAGTTTACCTCCCCTCAGTCCTTACTCAAAAAGTTTTGCTTCAAGCCAAATCCAGAAAATTGACATATGTACTCGTTAGATTACATCATGCCGCATATAGAACACAAATTTAACTCTCATTTCTTCTTTCTACTTGAAGCTCTTAATCTTTCAATTCCAATACTTTTGTTAATGCAGTTTATTGATAAGTAAAATAGTTAAGACTTATATAGCATTAATGAAGGTAATGGTCGTTTTTCAATATCTTTCATGTTGTAGATCTGGTAAGCGGGATTCTTTCGTTTGTTGAACTTAAGATGAACCCAATTTAAAGTATAATGAATGTAGCTTTTTTTTTAACTCGACACACTTAAACACAAGTAAACACTAGTATTCTAGCAAATAGTTTACAGAATAGTTCTGAAATGATCGAATTTTATCATCATATGGTAATTGACGTACATTTTACTTTTAAATTTCAATATCATTCTATCTTTGTGTTCAATAGAATACTGTCTACGGAGCTAATATTATTATCATTGAAGGGATTTTGGTATTCTATTCGCAAGCTGTGGCCAAAGTAAATTCAATCTATTTTCCAAGTTGATCTTGGTTGGTTCTTTTGCGCCTAAATTAACACCTATTCTTTTTTTTAATACTTATAATACTATTTTGTCCTCAGATCTTGTATAGAATTATAAGATATGATCATTTAGTGCTCCTAACAGCACAAAAATGTACTTTTACATCTTTTCATTCTGATTATATTTGGTTTCATCTTACCTTCCCTATCGCCCTCAAACGCCCTGGTACGGCAGAGAGTGGTTAGAGCCAGCTCTCCCTCTCGAAATGCTCTCAAGTGGCCACATGCATACAACCACTTCCAACGAAGTCCTACTCACTGCCTTCTCGTGGCGGAGGCGTTCTTTACGAAACTGAGAGGACGAAAAGCGGAAGTCCGGCGCTTTAACTGGATTAGTGGATACGGAGGATCCACCTAGGGGAGTTGGAAAACCCTGGTTCAAAACCAATGGTGTACATGGGCTCCAGGACCCTAAAGGAAACAAATGGCGTATAAACCTATTGTTTGTCACCGGCTACCATGAGACTGCATCTCCTGACGTTGCTCCACTGCCTTGTGGATCAGACTTTCAGGTCGAAGGCTCCGGGTGTGGCCCCCTAAGAAAACCACCTGCCTCGGCTTGGGGACCCGGGCATTATCCCAGCCCTCACACAGATCGAATGATTTATGTGGCGTATATCTTTTTGGTGCCTTCTTGTACCAATGTTTATGTGTTTAAATAAATAAATAATTAATTAAATAAAATACCTTCTCTATCGGAGCTAATGGATGGAGCTTGTTTTTTTTAACAAACTGAGTTTTACTGATTGTAAAACTTATTTTTTAGGTCCTAAGGTATCAGAATAGTCGGTTGAGTAGTGGTATGACTAGGTCGTGAATTCCAAATCCTTGCGGTAGTAGGGTGCTCCGCATGGGCACAGGCAAGGGGGATAGACAATTTTTCATACAAATGGCACCCACCTTTAGTTCTGTCGTTTCGAGTTTATTAGTACTGTTAAGTATTTAAGTCGAATGTTTACATGATCCATTTAACTTAATAGGTCTTTTCCCTGGTATTTTTTCTACATCTCACTAGCTAATGGATTTGAAGGTATTTGTTGATACAGACGCAGATGAACGCTTATCTCGTCGTCTTCGTCGTGATATTAGTGAACGTGGTAGAGAATTGAATAGCGTACTAGAACAATATATGCGTTTTGTCAAACCTTCCTATGAACAATTTATTGCTCCAAGTATGGCTCAAGCAGATATTATTGTTCCAAGAGGTAAGTATTTTTCTGGATTTTACATTTTTGGTAAGGGATATCCTAGCCATCCATTTTTCAGTTTGAATTCGATAAAATGACTCAATTTTATTTTTCAAGTATCCGTCATTATGTTCATCAAAATTGTTTATGTATTTATCTTCACGAGACTGAAATCATAGTTAAAAATTAATGCTAAAGCATTTCGAGTGAATCACTTTTATTCATTACATATCATTTTTTCTAAATATAGGTGGACAAAATGTTGTCGCTCTGCAACTTATCGTTCAACACATCAATAAACGTTTAAAACAGGTAATTTCTACTATTGGAAAACATGCATATTTCTCATTTATGGTTGATGTTTTCTATTTTTGACACGGTAATGTTTCATCATATGGCAGTAATACGTAGATTCACGCTGTTGGGATAAGTTGAACAAAAAGATGTAAAGGAGAACAGTGAGTAGAATAATTTGAGCAAAATAATTCTACTGTCGAAAAGGTTGCTCAGTTACGTTAGTGGCTCTTAGTCGTGCATCATCATCTGTCTTTATTATCACATGAGTTTCATTTTAGATTTATAGAAAAGTTCCGGTAAAGACTTATGCTGTCTAAAAAGAACAGGTTCTTAAATTGTACTGGAATTCGCGTGTTCAATGTGTTGTTATGGGAGCAGTTGTAATATATAGCTCAATTGCCGAATAGTTGTTCTATATTCTTTACACGACCGGCGACCTATTTACTAAATGACAGTGACTAACGAACCACAACCAAGACCCTAACACCTATTGGTCTCGAGATCCTTCCAATCCAGTATCCAATCAGAAAACGAGGATAGGAGGCAGACTAATTATCTTTTGTACTCTATTCAGTCATTACTCAAAATTCATCAAGTAATATATCTGAAATACCTAAGCATTACTTGCTTACGCCTGTCACTCCCCATGGAGGAGCATAGGCCGCCCACCAGCATTCTCTATCGAACACTGTTCTGAGCAACCCTTTCCAGTTGTTTCTAGTTGCTATTCATCCTTTTAATGTCTGCTTCAGATTCCCGGCACAGTGTGTTCTTTGGCCTTCCTTTTCTCTTCAGGATTCCAGGTTGGGGCTTGCCTCATGGTGCAGTTTGGTTATTTCCGCAACGTATATCCTATCCACCTCAGACTTCTTTTCCTAATTCCCTCCTCAGCTGGAACCTGGTTTGTTCTTTCCCACAGTAGGCTGTTGCTGGTCGTATCTTGCCGACGGATATTGAATATCTTGCGTAAACAACTGTTTACAAATACTTGTATATTTTTGATGATTGTTGTAGTAGCTCTCCACGTTTCAGCCCCATACAGTAGAACTGTCTTGATGCTCATATTGAAGAGTGTGACTTTGATATTTGTTGACAGCTGTTTTGAGTTCCGTATGCTCTTCAACTGTTGGAATGTCGTCCTTGCTCTGGCGATCCTGACCCTTACATCTGCATCCGATACTCCACGTTCATCGATGATGCTATCCAGATACGTGAGTTTTCACAATTTCCAGAGCTTTCCCACTAAGAGTGACTGGGTTAGTGTTTTTTGTGTTGTATTTGAGGATGTTGCTTTTTCCCTTGTGTATGTTGAGGCCTACTGATGCAGAGACTGCCGCTGCACTAGTCGTCTTTACATGTATTTGCTCGTGTTATGGGATAGAAGGGCCAGGTCATCTGCGAAGTCGAAATCATCTAGCCACATACAGCCTATCAATTGTATTCCGTGCTTCCCCTCAGATGTTGAGGTCTTCATAATCCAGTCAGCCATCAGAAGAAAGAGAAAACACGAGAGTAGGCGGCCTTGTCTGACTCCGGTCCTCACATGGGATGCGTCTGTCAGCTGTCCTCCATGCACAGCTTTGCACTGTAGTCCATCGTATGAATTCCGGATGGTGTCTACGATCTTATCAGGTACTCTATATTGTCGAGGAAGTTCCCATAATGTTCTCCTATCCACACTGTGAAATACTTTCTCATAATCAAGAAAGTTGATGTATAGTGACAAGTTCTATTCAAGTGGTTGTTCAACGATGATCCGTAATGTAGCGATTTGGTCTGTGTACGATCGGTCCTTACGAAGTCCAGCCTGTTGATTCTGAAGTGGAGTGTCCACTGAATCTTCCGTTTGGTCCAACAACACAGTTAAAAGGTTTTCTTTGTGCTGATAGTAGTGTGATGCCTCTTATGTTCTCACATTTGCTCAGATCTCCTTCCTTTGGTATATTGATGAGGTAGCTTCTTTCCAGTCAGTCGACACTTGTTCTTCCTCCCAAATCTTTTAAATAGAACGTTGAGCATGTTTACAGTTACCTCTGTCTGACTTCAGTGCTTCGGCTGGCGTATTGTCTGGTCTTATCACTCTCCCAATTTTCAGCTGACGGCCACGCAGGTCTCCTCGATTCTTGATGTCGCGTGCCGTTTTGATGTCCGGCAGATTCAGTGTAGCTGGTCCATTCAAGAGTTCTTCAAAGTGCTCTACCTACTTGCTCCTTTATTCTTGAATCTTAGTGATTGGTTTGCCTCCTTTTTTCTTGGCTGGTCATTCTGGTTTCCCATACCTTCTTAGCAGTTTCTTCATTGTATTATATAGTTGTCCTAGATTTCCTTCTCTTGCAGCTCTTTCCACTATCGCTGCTAGGTCTTCTACAAATCTCTGCTTGTCAGCTCTAATACTCCTATTCACTTGCTTGTTTGCTTCAGTGTATTTGGTATGTGCCTTGACTTTTTCTGTTCTTGTTCGACTGTTGTTAATTGCTGTCTTCTCGCCCACCCTTTCTTGAATCCTGTCCAGGGTTGCAATGGAGATCCATTCATTATGATGATGCTTGTTACGTGCCAGAACCTCCAGACACGTTGAAGTTAGTGCTTCTTTGATCCCTTTCTAGTTATCCTCTACAGTAGTTTCTTCTTTGAGTAGATCTCTTAGGGCTTGGAACCTGTTGACAGTCATCTTGAATTCGTTGAGTTTGTCAGTATCTCGAAGAAAGGCTGTGTTTAACTTTTGTAATGCTGCTTCTCCAATTTGCCAGTGTTTCTTTAGCTTCACTTTGATACACGCCATTATCAGGTGGTAGTTTGAAACTATGTCAGCTTCTCTCTTTGTTCTCGCGTCTTCCATTGTCCTTCCAAATCTTTTGTTGAAGAAATTTCGATCAATCTGGTTCTCTAAAGTGTTCCTCAATGAGACCCATCTGACTTTGTTTATACATTTGTGGGGGAATATTGAGCTACTGATAACTTTTTCTGAAGACACACAGATTTGCAAATTTCTCATCATTCTCGTTCCTTTCTCCTAGTCCATGTCGTCCCACGATATCTTCATATCCGGTGTTGTCCATTCCGACTTTGGCGTTTAGGTCTGCCGTCAGGACATTCACGACATTTTCTGGACATTTCGCTATGATCGATTACAGTCCCGAGTAGAACTGATCTTTATCGTCTTCGTTGCTATCATTGATTGGTACATAACACTGGATAACATTCACTGTAATTCCATCCTTCCTTGTTTTGAATGATGCTTTGATAATCCCAGGTCTATGAGATTCCCATCGTACAAGTGCTTTACGTGCTTATTTAGACAGCATCACAGCAACTCCGCCTTTAGCTCTTCTAGGGTTACTTCTGGTCTTAAGCTCAGTTAAATGAGGAGAGTTGTGCATGGGGTCAGCAACCCCATCCCGTAGAGAACAACCTTGTTAAAAGACACCAACCAGAATAACCTAACCATACAACAACAAAAATAAGAAATTACAAGGTATAAAAAACTCAGTTATACGTTTTACAAAATGGGAGTAATTGGGAGTTAATTAGTTTATGAATGACCAATCTGAAACTCAGACAAAAGGTAGTTCATGAATTAAAAAGTTAACGAATGGGAGTTTATTATAAAATATCATAATCCAAGCAAGTGTCTGATAATCATACAGTGAAAATATAGACAATAATTTCCTGTACAATTCAACTTCTCATTGTCTCTTCGATATTTTAACGAAAACAGATGATTTTTTTAGATTTGTAAAAGTCGAAAAATATGATCCAGCGGTCTTATGATTAGTTGATAGTATCATGACTTCACTTGTCTTTTAGCGACTCCTGTTTACTTAGTTTTAGGTTCGCGTAAAATATATCTTAGGCGTTTTACTGTCGTAACTCTTGACTGAAGCTGTGTAGTCTAAAGTAATCCAGTATTCTAAAACGTTTCCACTTATTCAAATTGTTATTTTACTAAACAAAAAAACGTAACAATCTTCAAGATTTAAGAAACAAAAGATGAATTTATTTGCAACATTGTAGTCAATTTGAGGCATATTCTTCGGAGACAGGTATATCGATACAATTAATTGGGGATGGTTTGCACTAAACAGATTAACGACGTGTTATTATCCCCTGACAGTACCTAGTTGTTTTATCGAATCGAAGCAATATAAGAAAATTACCACCTGACTTGTGACTACGAACAATTATTGTCTAACACAAACACAACTGTTCATATGTACTTAGGATTGTAATTGTCGAAAAGTTAATCTATTTATGCTGATTCGTCCAACAAAATAATAACTTTATCGGTAGGATCTGGAACATATACCCAACCTTAGCTAGTGCCGTAACGTGGTTGTCTGACTTGCATATTTTGATGACTGAATCTGGCTATATTGGCTGGAACATACTTTCCTTTAACTTCTACTGGAGTGTATGCTGCTTATGTCAACATAAGTAGTATATAACACCAGTCAGAAGTGGAATGCCTGGCATCAGAAGGTTGGGAAAATCGAATCGAAGAGAATGGGAACAAAGAGTAATTGTTATGGCAATGAAGGAACGATGAAGTTTGAAACAATTGATGGAGGATTTGCAAATGAAGTATTGAATGTATGGTTTTCACATTTGATCAAAGAACTCTGAAATTTTGTGTTTAAATACATTTGGTTGTCCCCACCTATATTGTCGTTTACAATACCACCATGCCAGCCAAGTCTTTTGGAGAACGGTAAGAATAAAAGCAGCAACTTAGGGCCCGAAGTTGTACTGCTGAGTGTAGAGGGGTAGGAAAGTAGTAAGGTGTTTCCTTCGGACGACCGGCATTTGCAGTGATGCTGTCTTCTCATAACGGAAGGAAGGCGTTTGAAAAGGTTGATCCTAGAAATGTCACACCTGACCTTACCCCCGCAGATTTCTGTCTCCGGAGGTAAGGCTTTTTGAAGTGCGAAGTTTATACATCGAAAAATTCCCATAAAAAGGTCGTGCGCGACTCGTCTCAAGCAGTTGTCCATTGGTCTTTGCGGTCACACTCCTAGATCTCCAAGACCACCACCAATTCAGCTTGTTTTCCCAGTTCCCTCAAGAAGAAATATCCTTCCACAGTGTAAGCAACTGGGAAGTAACAGTCGCCCTCTTATCTGTGTTGGCACCCGAGATTATCTTCTTGGCGATCAAATCCCTTCATCACCTTAATAATTCTCATATCTGTGCGACTAACCTTTCTGGTATATATTTATCACCACGCGGTACTAATGCTAATAATTTGAGTTCACGGAAAATTATTCCTGTTTTCCTGAGACCACTCTCTAAACTACATGTTCAAACCTTGTGTCAAATAGGACAACAGGCTCCTTTGCTAGGGCTCTAGAATCTTACGCTATAAATGCGTTGATGAGAAGTCTTCTTATTGAAAGCTAGAATCGGTTTCCTAAACTCTCTAGTAACCCCTGGGCTAAATCTACACAGCAACTCGAATACGACAGAAAAGGCGCGAAATATGGAAGAAAACGCTGTACTCTAGTGGATCGTTCATGTACAGAAAATCTAGGGTATTTATAGCATTTTAGATGGCCTTGCGCTTCCGGAAAATTCTCGAACGCTACTAAATATAGTAACAGTATAGGTAACCACCCAATCAGAAACGCGACATGTGACTTTTGACTTCCTTAGTATTTCTGGCAAAACTTCTATTGAATACTGGTCGAACAGGATGTTTATCAGCGTTTTAGAGCCTTTTTGGCTTTTTTGAGGAATTTTCTGGATCTTCCCAACATCTTTTTCTCCGAAACGTGCATACAGGATGTGAGTACGGTCATTTATTTGACCTCACCTTGTCAACATAAAGAACCGGCACGACTTACCCTTCGAGCTTCTAAAGACCTTACTACAACGTCCTGTGGCCTCGGTGGTGTATGTGCAGCATTAATTTTTAAAGCAGAACAGGTTCTGTTAGACTTGATTGCAATATATAGTTGCTTGTGCACTGTCCGACTAAACAGGACAATCAGAATTCAAAAAGGTAAGGGCACACTGCGTTATCTCTGCCTATGTTCTCACTGGTTACAATTTGAATGAAGTTAAAGATGGATTTTATGGGGAGCTATTCAACCTTCTTCAAAAAGCTAAACGCTCTGACTCAGTAATATTGGCAGGTGATTTTACTTTTCAAGTATGTAGACTAAACCAAATCGAAAGGCACTTAAATATTGTGATATTGCTGCCCAACGAGCAGAATGGCGGCCGTCTGAAAAAATTGATATGGCAACTTGAACCGATGTACACACGTACAACGTTCTACGCTGTGAATGAATTGCTGACTGACTGAGACCATATATCATTATGAATTACACAAAATTTCACTTCACCTGTCACCCTGTAATATTGATATTTTATTAGGCCAATTGCTATAAATTTATGTCAGTTGCTTAATAAGATTGAATTATCTATTTATACAGATAAGCACCAGTGTCTGATAGTGTAAATATATAGTACTTTGTGCTTTATTCTGATGATTTTTTGTTATTTTCTTTTGGAATTTCAAATGAATCTCATTAATTATTAGCAATCTCTTAATTTCAACTCAAATATTCATCTCAATTCTTGTTTACCATGTTTAAGTGAAACGTTTAATATTTCTTTGTTTCTTATTGACTCTAATCGTTAAATCAGTCGACCTTTAATTCTGTTGTGACTTTATGTCCGACTTTTTATCCCATGATTTATCCACCAATCAAAATACGACTTATACAATCTTAGCACTGTGCCAAACCAATGACGTCCGACCGGCATGAGCAGCCCAGCGTCCTTATTGATCCTATGTTCGCCTAGCCCATCCAATTGAGTCCAGAACACCAATACCAGCTCCCACTATGCGAATCATGTATTTCAAACATACTGCGTTTATATATCAAACAAACAGACCACAACGCACCATAAAATAGGAAATAACATTTGCACACAATAAAGCCAAAAAGTGGCTGTGAACGTGGGAGGCAGTAGTTAATAAACTGAGCATAATTTAGGGACAGTAAATCGTATAATAATAAATTATAGGTCAAAATGAAGCTTATAATAAGAGGAATATAAATATACATAATCTAATTATTGAATAGTTATACCATAAGAATGTATCGATAATATTAGTCAATTAATACGTCTCAGCAGTTACTCGTTATTTAATCTTCGCTCGGATATAACAAATTACAGGGTCACATGTTCGATTTATTTTGTTTTGTTCTGTTTGATAATATTGTTAACCCTCACATCAGATATATGGTTCAAAGCCATGAGTACGTAAATTTGCACTTAATAAATGAGTGTAGCATTAACTCTTTGTAGTTTGTATTATTAATTTGGTATTGCTTATCTTTCATATCAAGTGTGGACTACGAAGCAGACATGAATTCGCTAAATTCCCGTTCATACTTTCTAATGGTGCATTACCAACAGATTCCAATGATACAACTTGGGAGAACAATAATTCAACTGGTGTAAATAATACAGTAGATGATGTTTTTACAATGAACAACCATCTGTATCATAACAAGCAATATACTACTAATGGTACATCTGATAAAGTATGTCTCCCACCTCAAGTTCATGTATTACCTTCCACACCTCAAAGACTTGGTCTGCATACATTAATTCGTGATCGGAGCACCAATCAAGATGCATTTGTTTTCTATGCCGAACGTTTGATGCGTCCTTTATGTGAAGCTGCAATGAATCTACTTCCGCATATGGTAAGTAATGCTCATAGATAAATAAAATGTCTTAATTTCTAATAAAGTTTTACAGCTATATTTGGATATCCATACCATTTGTTAAGTAGGCACTTTTGAGCTGATATTTGGTTTGCTCATTCCTAGAGACCAGATATTTTTAATCATAAAATTGTGATCAGTGTTTGATGGCTACTGGGATAAATAATTGTCGATTACTTTTATGTTGGATGTTTTTATTCCCATATATTCAGTCATAACGAACAGTGTTCAGAGTTCCATGAAAGCATAAACCTTTGACGAAAACTGCTTCTGATCAGCGTAAATGAAAGTATGGGAATTCTTTCGTGGATATCATGCTTTCCAATTTTGGAATGCTGGTTCGCATCGATATCAATCCGAATGATAGAAAGCTAACTGTTGTAGCACGTTTCACACTTTAGTTAATTTCTAAGATTCATCATGGCAAGCTGGATTTTTTTTTGCATGGCTTTTTCCTTATCCTATACAACTAATAGCATCGATAAAATATTTGATTGTTTAATAAAGAATGCCTTACTTCATACTGCATAACTTCATGTGTTCATATCATAACCACTTAGAAGGGTGTACATCATAGATATTTGATCATACGTGTTTTTAAAACATTCCTTGTGTAGAATGAAACCATTAAGGTAGGAGAGCAATGATGATGTTAAGTATAAAATATAGGGTAACGGCGATAATCTAATGAATTTTGTTGTGAACTAGTTTATATTGAGGTAATTGTTACGTTTTACACATCTATATACCTACTGCCTATTTCAGGATACTGTTTTAAGCAACAGTAATCAATAATTGAAGAGTAGATCGTAGAAATATATTCAGCTTTCATTCTTCTTTCAATGTTAAAAACTGTATTATTTTTTGTTTTCAATTCCCCTTTCTCACCGTATTCTTTAATCTCTTTATGGAGTCAATGTTTTTTTAGATTTCCTCATTTTAACCTTTCCTTTCTCATATAATATGGAGAGTATCAAATTAGATCGGCGTGCATTTGCAATTACGTCTCCACCGTATTTTGTGCCTAATTGATTACTTGTATTCTTATGATACTGATAGTGTATTTGTTGTCTCATGAAATTGAAATTGAATATTATACTGTTGTGTCGTCATCATTCACGAAAGAAGTTAGTAATCCCTATTATTTGGAATTATATTTATGAGAAATCGATGGATTAGAAAATAAATTCAAGAGACCTCACAAGCATTATCTAGAGAATCATTCAAAAACAAAGTTCACTGAACAACTCAGTATTCTTTTGTACACCACTTGCATTATATAGAACGATATCCTGAGATCTTGGAATTTTCTAGTAAGCAGTTTGCTATTCACCTGCTGAATTATATTCCTCCAGTTCACTCGTCTAAATAATCTCATTTTCAAGTCATATGTATATTACGAAACTTATTTACTTTTTTTCCACAAGGATATAGATATCGAGACTCCTCAGGGTATCACTTATCGTGGTCGGAAATTAGCCACTGGTACTCAAATATGTGGTGTATCTATTCTAAGAGCAGGTGAAGTACTTGAACCGGCTTTATGCGCTGTGTGTAAAGATATCCGTTTGGGCAAAATTTTGATACAAACCAATCCAGTCACATCTGAACCTGAATTACACTACATTCGTTTACCTCGAGACATTAAAGTTAGTGCTTACTTAATTTCAGTTATGTAAGATGCAGTTCACTATTTTTTCGTTGAGTTTTTTAAATATTTATTAATAATAATAATAATAACTGCTCAATAGAGTGGACAATTAACTAATTGATTGTGAAGGTATCTTGTGGCTATTTTTAAATATTTAATACTAACCTGAAATGTTTACTATCGAAGATATTTTGTTTGAAGTAGGAATTCGGTCCATGAATATATAATCTAGGGGAGTATAATATCTATGTAATCATAGTTAGTTATGAAGTTGTATATCATATACATTGGAGTTGGGACTATCACCATCACCACTACTACTACTACTACTACTGAATAAATTGAACTAACTGACCTGTGTATTCAATAAATAAACGATCACTTATTTTGTTTTTTGGCCATTTGTAATACGATTTATTTTGTTTAAACACGAGTCATATAAAGATTTCGAGTACCTCGATGATAATTTCATCATGTATTGTTGAAGAATCATTCTCATAGTAACAAGAAACAGAACCGTCTGGTCTTTTGTTGGCTACTGTTGGTTCTTCAGCTAATTTTAGTCTGTCATCAAAACTGCATCGCTTCAAATAATTTTATATATTTGAAGATTTTATTCAAATGGTCTCTCTCAAACGCAAAATGTAGTTCTTACCGAGTATTATTTTACATAGGAATAAATTTTTTTAAGATTGGTAAACTGAGTTTAACCCTACTTTTGCGGAAGTGACTGTGGTCTTTCCATGCCAGAAGCAGTCAAGTCTTCTGTCACAAAATTAAGGGACAAAAACAAGTTTCATGGTCTGCTAGTGTTGTGTTTGTAAATAAGAAATATACTATAGATACATTTATAACTCACTGGCATATAAACCTCTCATATAATTATTGCTGAATATTTACAGTGATATGAATCAGTATTATTCCTTAGAGTTTATAATCGGACTTGCCTGTGATTAATTCATAGTGTTCCAATACTAATGCTATAAACATTTTCAGAATTCACAGTAGTTTGGAAAAATGGCTAAGTGATTATAGCAATCATGTTCCGACCATTAAATTGTGATTTTCAACCAAATTCATTCAATTCGGTCTAACTTTTATTCGTAAAGATAATTCTTTCATTATCTAACGAAAAAAGCTTGTGTATGAAAAAAATGTTCAAGCTAATTATTGGTCGTCATCGTCTATTTATTCAAAGGAAAAACAACAACATTGTCTACAAACTAAAACATTTTGTATTGATAAATACCAGTCAAGTAAATGAAATAACCCTGTGCTTTCATCTAGAATTTATTTTAGTTATAAATATAATGACCTGTATACGTGTGTGTATAGAATGCTGAAAGTGAAAATCATCTATATGTGTGTATTATTTTTTGTCGTCATTCAATTTCTTATAAATTGAATTGGCATATGTGCATTACAAAATTAATCTCATTCTTGTCATTCACCTCATACTCAGTAAAATTCACCAGTGAATTCGCAGTTCATTGTTCCTTTTTTGTAGTATTCATCTAAATCTGTTCTTTTTTTTATAAAGGATTGTTTTGTTATACTCATGGATGCCACTGTGGCTACTGGAGCGGCTGCTATAATGGCTATGCGTATATTAGTGGAACATGATGTACCAGAAGATAAAATTATCCTTATCTCCTTAATAATGGCTAGTCAAGGTGTACATTCCGTTGCTTATACATATCCAAAGGTTAATTTTTATTTCTTTATATTGTACATATTTACTAAATATTTATCAAAATTTATATAGGCATCATAACATTTCATACTCAATTAATAGGGCTCGATTTCATTCAGCTTAACATCATTTACTACTGTTGTGTGGGACTTAACTGTTAAGCTATTAATTTATTGGATATCAGTCTACAGTTATTTATTTATAAATAGAAGCACAAATTTTACATTAAACTTCAAGTCAGACGTTTTGTATGGCGAGGAAAATTGATAGTGACACTTATGTTTTAACTGATAGAAGTGATACCTGGTTCAACTTGACACTATCTTATCGTTTCATTAGCTTCCTCTGCGAGAATGATTGTTCTCACGTTGTAGTCCCAAATTTACGAGTATTTGTATCAAAACGGTTACAAAGCTAGTAACAGTCAAATTTTGTTGAAAATGAGCTCCAAACAATCCTTATTAAAATTCATATTTATATTTCACTGTTATTTAAGGTAGCATTATTGGTGTTTTTAATGTAATATATGTAGCATATTGATACTCATTATTCAACAACAAACCCGTTGAACATGAAATTGTTTTTGTCGGATTGTCACGTATACCATCTATATACTAATTTACACAATGTATTTCAATAGTTTTGTCTTTAAAAATTTGTCTACGAATTCAAATCAAGTCTTGTTTCGGATAATTAAAATAACTCATTATGTCATTGACTAAAAATAAAGAGAATTCACTGAAGGAAGTTTGTTTTTCGACGTAATCACTTGGTTGTATATATTCGTGTTTATAATTGTATGGTAAATATATGTATATAGAAGGGTGTAAAAGATTGAGTCATAAAGTTATTCGATAGTCTAAATATCAAATGAGGTTACGCAACAATCAGGGGGCTAATTGAAAATTACTTATTTAGAAGGATGGAAATAGTTTACGGGTCAGAATTATGAAAGATAATTGTCCGCTTGACAGGTGTGAAGAAAAACGAAAAACATAAAGGTCGTAATAATAGTTGAATAATTATCATGAACAATTAGTGATAGATACTAATAACTGATTGCATTTGAAATTACAAAAGAGGTTGGACGTATCGTTTTTGCACACAAAGTTCCGGTTTAAATTGGTGGATCGCCAACGCATATAGCTTATTCTCGCTTCCGGACAAGCCAATTTACTCATTCTTCTTGAGTCACATTTCGACCTTGTTAATTATTACTTATCAACCTTGACTGTTTTTATATGTGCGTATGTGTGTGCACTTCTTATCACACTCATCACATGTCTATAACTTTTTTGTGTGACTACAAATATCGATTAACGCTTGATTAAACTAAGTCAGTTCACACGCTTTCTCCATTGCGAGTAATTTCGCTTCACTCTTTTCTCTTCGCTTCTCCGATCTTTTGTGTGGATCAACGATTGTATGAAATATACGTATTCCTAATTCATTCTCGTATTCGACTTACTTAGTTCCGTTGTTCACCAACGTGATTTAAGTCGATGGTAATGTACGAGGATTGGCGACATGTATATTTCGATAGCAAGCAATAAAAGATCGAAGTGCAGTCATATTACGGGTCACAAAGCGTTTTTATTCGACCTTCCTTCGATTCAGTTCCTTTAATTATGTAGATTAGTTTAAAGGAAGACTCCTTCGGATCGAATCACTTTATGATGCAGTCTTTTCTATCCTCTATACGTATTCTATAAATACGAATATACAACCTAAGCAAATGATTTCCTCAAAAAGAAAGTTCTCTTCAGTGAACTCTCCCTATTTTTATTCAAGTCTTGTTTCATTTGACTCGTTCCAACTAGATTTCATATCGTTAGGATGTTACTCATGACGTTTAATAACTTGTTTCCCAGTGATGTTCTGACGTAATTAAAGTATGTCTAGAGCAGTCGGTTCGAACTGTGGTAACACTACTAGTATTCATATAAAACCTGTGATTTATAGCGTGTGTGTTCCAGCAAACAATCGGTTCGTAAAGTAGCCTCTCTAATCTGAGTAATGTAAATACAGTTGGCTCATATTTCTTCACTGATTAAAAAGCAGATTCGATATGAATAAAATCGTCAAAACCTGTTAGTTTAATGCTGTGTAGTGGTGAGAAAACAACATTAATATCTGGATCTAGGTTTCATTTCAATTAGCAGTCGTTAGCATGATATACCATCAGTCTTTAAAAATCTCGTGCTTACCATGTTACCTGAATCTGTGTCATCTGGTGATTCCACCGAAAGACATTACTACCGAATTTTTTGAGGCAATATTGACCTCATGAGGCATATATTTAAATCAAAGCGCCAGTAAGTAGTAGTGTATATGTTGCGTCTATTTTCACAAATCATTCTTCACGTCTCTGTATTTAACGCGGAATAATTCAAGTTTGGAGAATTATTTTCCTCTAGACTACAGTGAAATCTTTAACGACATGAATTGTTGGCTGCATTGTAATCTGACTGATAGACTTCAGTCAAATCAATACTGATTCTTACTAACTGATCAGTTATTACGTAATATATAATGCAAAATTTGTTTTTGTTCTACAAATGCTGGGTTATTAATTTTGTGTGCTTTTTCATTGTCTTGTTTCATTTTATTTATTGTTTCTTTGTTCATATTAGGCTCACATTGTAACTACTGCTGTAGATTCAGGCTTGAATGATAGTTATCACATTGTTCCAGGTGTTGGAAATTTCGGTGATCGCTATTTTGGTACTACTCTGGATCTAGAAACAAGATAATGAATCTAATTGTTTCTTTTCTTCATGACATTCTGCAACACTTTTGCCAATTTGAGTGAACTTTCTTTTCGTCGTTTACTACTTATATAGTCAGGAACCTTTCTAGTTGGTTTTAGTCTGATTTTTAATTAATTCTTTTCTTTAAAGAGTTTTTGTTTTGTTTTTTCTGACAGATTTTTTCTGGAAATCTACTTTCACTACAACACTAGCTCGATATCCTTGTCTAGTCCGCATCTCTATACTTGTTTCATTCATTGCAATTTCTTATACTCTATTGCATGTAGTTTTGTTATTCCGTCTGACAAATTGATTTATAGTTAGTGTGTTTTCTTCTTTATGTATATGTGTCGATTTAATTGAATTCACTGATATCTTTTTGATGTATATTTGTACTTTATTGATTATTTTTGTCTCTTTTTTTACCATACAGTTGTTTTCTTCCCAATTGACAAGGAAGAAGCAAGTTTATTTTCTTTGTAATATATGTATGTATTACAGAGAATTTACTTAAATAATATACTAATTATTTATTGTGTACTAAAGGTTTCAATATTTTGTTGTTTAATCTTGATTTTCTTTTACAAATATTTCTGTTATTTTAATACACTGATAATTTCCTACTTTATTCATCCACTTCACTTTTTTTCTTTAGAAAAAAATACGTCTATTTTAGTTTCTACTGTTGCTGTTGACGATGACGATAAAGTTAATGTGAAACATCTTTTTCTATATAAAGTGTGTTCAGATGTCATTTTATGTCCTATATGCATATATGAAGTGGTAGCTTGCTTGTTAGAATGCTCGAAATAGTTTGAAGGTTCCGAATCCCTACTCATTGCTTACTTGAGTTTTGGGCTGTCTGCTAGCAATATTAGACCCTATACAATCAGTTTCGCTCAGAGGTAAGTGTATAAATCCGTACTTGGTAAAGAAGCTATAATTAGGCGGTGGCATTCATTTATGATGATTTAGATTTGATTGGGTGGGGAACGTATGTATTGGCGTCGTATCAGGTGACTTCAATCAAAAAGCGATAACCATGGAAGAAACACAATCAGCCCCTAAATGTCTTGAGACAACCGAAGATGAGGAGAGGTCACTCTCCTTCTTGAAATAGGTAGTGAGCAGATAGAAGTAGTCAAGAAGTTTGTGTATCTAGGTAGCTACATAAGTGCTGTTGGTGGCGTGAGTGAGCCAGAGCAACTCATGCTAATCCAGCATATCTTTGGCGCCTTTGTGATGTTAGTCTGGCTGTAAAAGGTCGGATCTACAACATGTCTGTAAGAACAGTTCTGGTCTATGCCTATGAAATCTAACCTCTCTGAATTGAGGATGTTAGACCACTCTGTGTTTAGTCGTCGTTGTCACCGAAGGATTGCTGACATTCAGTGGCAACATCATGTTAGTAATGCAGAGGTTCGGTATCGTGTGTTTGGGCAGAGCGACGATAATTCAATTGGTATCACTGTCTTGAAACATCGACTTCGGTGGCTTAAATGTGTCTTACGAATGTCTTTTCGGAGAATTCCACGTCATGCATTACTTACCAACGCTGGGAAGGGTTGGAAAAGCAGAGAGGTGGTCAATGTATGTTATGATATCGTGGTATGGAAGAAAGCTGTACAGAACTGGCATCTGTTGTTCCTTCAGGACTCCCTGGTTGGGCTCCTAGAGATGGTGCAACACTGACTAGGGACGTGGCTCAGAATAGAAGCCAGTGGTTATTCCGCTATAATTTTCTTTTACTTTATAAAAGTGAACGCAACTTTAACTGGAAGAATTCTTTTTGGTTATATTTCTGCTAACTGAACTATTTCTCCTATTAATATTATTATTAAGTTGCTATTATTATTATTATCATTATGATTAGTATTGTCATTACTATTGTTATTATTGGCATTATTATTGTAATATTATTATCGTTACTATTATTATTGTCGTTATTATTATTATTATTATTTCATTCTCATACACTAATGTCTATTCTTTGTTCTCCTTATTATAAACGCTTCACATTCTCTCTCTTCCCATCCTCATTTGTTGTTGTGTGGCGCATATGTATTTAGTGCCTTTTTTACAATATTTATGTGTCCAAATAAATAACAAAGAAAATTATTACTCTCAATAATAGGAAGCTCATAGTTATGTTAAAATCTTGTAGTTTACAGTGCGAGTTCACTATAGTTGGTTAATCATTGAAAATCAGAAAGCACTGGACAGTTATATCGTTCTAGTTCGGCGCTCTGTCAGTTTTGAAAGTTAAGTGCTCACTCCAAGGCCTAAGAGTCCCAGATACATACTACTGAGTAGTCCCATAACAGGATGGAATAGACATCCAGTGCTTTTTGAATTTTACTGTTGTTTAGCTAAAGTTAACCAGTGGTGTAAAGTATGAAATTTAATAAACTCCCTGTTTGAATAAAAATATAAATCTGTTTTTGCCGTATATGTAAACCCAGAAAATCTTTATTTTCGGAAATTGTGGATTTCTGTGTTTTGCCCATAGAATTTCTTGATTTTAAACTGTTTGAGCATTTAAGTAGTCTCCGTCTAATTACAATACTAAAGATATACTAGAATTCTTGTTTTACTGTATCAAGGTTAGCAGAGGAATTAGTGGTGTTTTTATTCGGTATTTTCATAAGATGTAAAGGAATACTGAATTCAAGCTAGGCTAATATTATTTAGTCGTCTTATGGTTATTGAATATGTATTTACGGCAGAGATATGATTGTACGTTGCATGTTTTGTGCTGGATGTTTACGCTGAGGACGTTTATATGGAAAACTAGAAATTCACGATGTCATTCTGATCAGCGAACACTACATCACTAAAACATTCCCATTATATCAAAAATTGACTTATTTGTTAAGAGATGTAATGAAAATGAGGTGATCGCTTTAGGACTTGGTATTTACTGTGCATATGGCTTTTAATCACTAGGCTTCATGCTATTACTCCACCCCATATACTTCGGTTTGAATGAACGGTTGATATCATTAACGCATGTAAAGTGTATAACTCGAAATTAAGCATGTAAATATGCCTGAGTTATATTAACATAATAATAATAATTGGTTAAAGGCTGTAATAATTTAGTTGTTTGAAAACATGGTCTGTTTAAATCACAATGGAATAGATGTCGGAGTACAAAACAACTGACCTGTTGGAATATATACACATATTTCTAATCGGTTTTATCATTATTCGAGACTTTCGTAAGAGTCGAGTTTTATGGACTTGGGTCACAAATGAAATTTCTGTAATGTGGTAAACAAGTCTGCATAATATTTCGTCATCTATGTCATGTTTTTTTCCTTAATCATATTCGATCGTTGAATTATGTAGCTTGGCCACTGGTAAAGCGATTCGACATAATGCCACTTGGTGGCTAGATGATGATTAGTGCGGAAGCAGCGAAATCAATGCTCAGAACTTCTTTGTCAACTATCTTTCATTCCCTAGTATAAACAAAGCAGAGTGGAAATTGTAAGTAGGAAAGAAAATATTTTGAATCAGACTTTATATCCAATTAAAAAAAATCAGAACTTACATCGTCAGTAATTATAATATTAGTGTACTAGAAATGCGTATAAGATAGATTTCCATGTTAGCGGAAATCAATCGGTATTGAGCGTGTACTTTTCATTCAAAGTAAAATAATCTATGCAGCTAAGAAAATCTGTAATTGATTGTGGGTTGAGAATTCTTGTTCTTTCGAGCTTCCTATATGTCTATTAGTATACAAACTCTACGTAGAAAAAAACCTAACAGACGTTAGGCATCAGTTGGAAAACCACTGAAACTTGAGCTTTTGAATAACCCGAATATTACAGGTGATGGAACTGGATAATAGTCAGATTATTATCACAAATCAACTAAACTTGAAAATGTAGAATAACATATTACGATTAATATCAACTTGTGATGAAATAACATCTGTGATATCTGTTTTAATCTCGATATAGTTGGACTTCATCAATCATGGCTTCTTATTAAGACTTCCACGATTCTTTTTGTTTATAATTATGTTGAGATAACATGCTGATTTGACCGATAAAAATAAATAATTTAAAATAAGAATCGGTCATCTCATAGTAGATCACTAACATGCACTCATTTTATAGCCATATAAAGTTACTCTTCTATTTGAAAAAGCTTCACTCCTTATCTGTTTTACAGTCGAGTACAAATAAACATATTCCATAAATAACTTGTTCTATAACTGATTTATAGACAGTTATTTCGGAAACTACTAAAGCTATGCGATGAAAGGAAAAATACAATGCGAAGCCATACGATGTTTAGAGTTTTAGAAGTTCTTCATAAATTAGAAGTATTTGGAAATTAAAGACGAGTTGGTCTCCTGGTCGATATATCAGCTAGGTAGTCTGTTTGTTCACCGATCAGCTTCTACAATGTTATTTAGACTGTCAATTTCATCTGAGCCAATGGAAACCAGCCTAATCCACTATTTAATAAAATTTCATACAGAAAAAATGTCTATAAATTCTAGTATTTAATATTTAAACCTTTCAGTACTATGCAGTTATTTATAAGGTTGGATAATTATCACAAAAATGTGAATAATCCTTTTGAGAAGTGTCAGCAAAAAGTTCTTTCATTAAATTTTGCCATGCACTTACCCGACTGTCAAATAATAACATGAATAAATTATTAATATAAACCGTTCTGAAAATATTCCCATATAGTTTGTTCCTATGGATGTTCTTCATTATTTTGTAGTCACAACAATTTTCTTCGAAGCAAATTTCTTTACAATGTTTTTGAATAAATCGGCTTAGAAAACGTCAACATTTCATGTTTATTATTAGTGCTTATACGAAATCATTTTGATGGAGACGGCGGCCTGCCTGAATATGTAGACTACCTATTTCTGCCATCTAATTATTTCAACAAGTTATCTTTTTTCATTTCGTTTGACCGTCTCATTATGTCCATTAATCGCGCGCGCTAATTAAAAGGACAGTGGTATTTTTCCTCGATGAGTAAATTCTATTGTTTTGATCGTTTATTACGTATCAAGACTACTGTTTTCACTTTAGTTGAATTTATTTCAGTTAAAGTATTCGATTACAATATCGTTTCTGTTTCCATATTAGTTTGTCGTCATTGTTTCTAAAAGGGCAGTGATTTTGTACTTGTTGTGATTATCCTTGCTTTTGTGTAATTATTGCATCAAAAGCATTCTTTGTCTTAATCAAAGTACTTTAGTTAAGGTTTGAAATCTTGCTAAAGTTTGTCTTGTAGTATCCTTTAACTCGTTGACTGACACTGTGTTCATACTGTGATCGTATTGTGTTTTTCACCTTAATCTGACTAGAATGGTTGGTAGTACTCACAAATGTGAACAACCAAACTATTTGTTTCCTGTGGAGGAAGGAGTGCAGTGTGATGAATGCAAAAAGTGGTTCCATAAGATGTGCACCCGTTTAAGTTCCACCGCATACAAAAGATGTTTGAAGCCGAACTCATTTTGGCTTTGCATGCTTTGCTGTGCGAATAATACAGGAGGCTATGTGCCTATTGGCTTTGGCCTGTGAGAAGAACGATGGCACATGCGCTGATAACACGAGCACTGACAGTGACGAATGTGTCAGTGTAGTACCTGCTGTTACGAGACGCCTTAAACAACCGACTTTGACTGACGGAAAAGTGAAATCTCCGTTAACATTAACGAAGGAGGTAGTATCACCTGACATCGACAGTGGTAACCATGCACCTCTAGT